CTATCGTCTGCATTGAATCAACAACAGATACTTTGTGGTGTCCTATAAAAACGTATGCATTAATGGGCATCAGCACCTCGCAGTCTTCTCGGTATTTTCGCCAGAAATCTGTGGGTTAAGTAAGATCTGTCCGATAATCACGTGTCGTCCGCTAGACAAAGGCATGTCAATTTGACCAGTTTCCTTCAGCGTTATTTTTTTGTGAAAAAAGCATACGCACTTGCATGACTTCGTTCGAAAACGGGGTGCCGTTTTGGCTATTAAAAAAATTGATCTCGGTGTTTCTCAGGTCTCCTAATGGATAACTGTCGGAACTGCTGTAAGTGTATGTGATCATCTAAAAAACGTACGCTGGGTAATCAGTCAAAAGGCAACCATGAGTTTGAATTCTTGAATTTCTACCTTTAAAACCCTGTAGAAACTTATTATATCTTTACGTGATGGCCATGGCTTGAAGTCTGACGATTCGCACTCAGTAACCTTTTTCTATAAATTAATGAGCCTTCTGTGCTAGAGTGATAATTATGTATTTAATCGCCCCAATGCAAGAAGCAATTCTCACAGAGTTAACTAACTTCCTCGAATTAATGCAGCACGCTTATGCCGTCAGTTTTTCTAGTCGCTCTCAAATGCGTTCGTTGGGATCGTTTTCAGCCAATTTTCTTTTATTTTTTTTCTATTGTGTTAAAACACTTCCCTTTCACTCCAGAATAGGAAAATACGCGAGTGAAGCAACATACGCATTGAGTTTTTTTTTGCGAGAACTGCTTTATCAGCTGTAAAGTCTAGGCCGATGCATTGTCCTGATCCGAGAACCAGGACTTTTGTGTCGCAGTTTGGTCTCTCTGTTCAGACAAACTCGTTTGATTTTCGTAAAATACGTTGATAATACTTCGTAATGACCATAGAGTAGGACGTTATGCATGTTGGGTAAACCCTTCTTCGACCGTAGAAGAATATCATGAGAAGCACGTTCATTTTGGACCGCGATGTGCGATTTTCTTCGGTGAGGGTGCGTCCTTAAACCGATACTTAGGAAAACATCTAGCAAACATTTATCGGTTCTGTCTACACAAACCGACAATTGAAGGCAAACAAATTATTAGCGATTTTTCACAAGTGAATTAGCTAGTCCCATGGGACAAAAAAGATAGAAATCAAACGAAGAGAGTGAAGAAGCTGGAAATATGACACATAGTAAAATAAAACGTTACGATCTACTTGGGTCCGCAAAAACGCAGATGCCCCGAAAAAAAGATATAAATAGCCCACTGATAGAGCTAATATGAATGTGCATTCACCCATCGCAAGATGATGCTTTTATCTGAGACGCTGGGGTAGGCGTTTTGATGGCAGACCTTTAAATTGCTATGATAAGAACACAGGATGTATCGATTAATGCCGGTAGGTAAATAAGTGCCATTCGACGTTTGTGAAGACAGTTCATTTCGCCGGGGCAGTCTTGTCAGGAAAAACAGTCCTTATCAAGGCGGTTGTAATGCCGAGCGATGGAAGACAAGGACATGACGTAGCATTAGCTGAAGCTGACATCGTAATAATGGTAATTGTGGCCTGGGGACGTGCAGTGCAACGATTTAAGTTGATTGATGGTGAGTCAAACTTCTGAGACGATGATGGAGGCTTTAACTGGGTGCGTTTATTTTTTGCGTAATCTTGAACCTGCTTGCGATCGATAATAAACAGCACTATACGGAAAAACGTATAAACATTAACACATTTCTAATTAGTAAACGTGATTTTATTCTCACTGTGAACTTAATATGTGTAGTATTTCTCGGCAAGATACTCCTCCGTATGAGATACGTATATTCCCAATCCAATAGTTGGCTACGGAAAAACATTTTGAACCTGCAATGTCCTTTGATTCTAAAATTGCTTTTCTTCTGAGAAACTAACATGCGATTGAAATATTAAAAAAAAACGTCAGTTAGTTCCCTGAGATGGCTGCAGTTCCGGCGGGTATAATTTCCTTCGTCGTAATCTTCGATAAGATCTACAAGAAATTCACAACCAGGTATGAACTACAGATGTTATTACATGTAAAGAAAGACCTGAACGACCAGCTTGAATTTATATATCGACTTTTTCTTTTGCTCAAAATGGATACGAAAAAAAAAAGCATTTTTTTTCATTCTTTATCCTCAAAACATATATCGTCATCTCGTGCAATCCACGAATATCGTGCATCGAACAAGGTATTTTCAAAATATCAACAAACATTGATGTCTTTAAATTGAAAAAATATGTTTGTATATTGTACTCTACGTATAAGTTTGCTAAAATCACTTAGCTAGAAAACGGTGCTGAACAGAAAGAGTGGCAAGGGTATATGGCTGATTGCAGTGACACGATTCCACAGATGGAAATCTAATCAGATTACGAACGAGCTCATGTCTAATCAATGAGTGCGTTGCGTGAATAGGCACTTTTATGTTATGTCTTAAATAAATCGATTCCTCTTTACGACTCGCCGAAGCTTTAGCCTGCAATGTCGGTCAATCAGACTGACCAAACCAGAAAGAAAAAAATGCTGCATAGTAGAGGCTAAAGATGACAGCAATGATAACCTGGTTGGTTTCCTCGCGTTACTCTTATTTGGTCTACCCCATCCTGTCAACCAAAAGCCCGGCCAATGCCTACCGGGACTACACTGAACCAAAGCCGGTTTATACAAACTTACAAAATACAAACTTTGCCACCTCGCGGTTGAGCTTTGCAAAAAATCAAAATGTACCTGTAATCAAGAGGTCAGTACCGTTACCTCAGCAATATACAGCCTCAGCCGTCTGAAAGAGAATAAAGAAATCAGTGTTCATGGTAAAAATAATTTCCTTCTCAGAACAACCTCTGAGGACATTCATTAAACAATCCTTTCATAATATTCAATTTATTGCAGGTCTAATGAATAATTCAATCGTCGGCATAACTGTCAGCTCGGTCAGTGAATTTTCTAGTGTTCCCTCTATTGCCTTCCCCTTCAAATTTTTTTTATAGTATTGTGAATAGAAAATCGCAGGGAACCTGGTCCAATACGGCGGTATACGAAAGCTATGAAGGATCCAGCATTTGTTGTGCCACAGTTCTGGCCTTTTGCGTTGGACAAATTTGCGCAATATTCTTAAAGCTTCCTGACAGTGCTCCTTAATATCCGTGGAGCCGGATGACATGAAGCATGATGAACGATTGCTCCGATGGTACCAGGAAGCCATCAGGATTACCTTGTTCTCGTACCTCGATCGTGTGACCTTTTTTGGTGATGGCTCGTTTCCGAGTCGACACAGGAAGATTGCATCTCAATTTTCTATTCGTGGACGGCATAAACCTAAGATGAACTATTTACCCACGGTCAAAGAAAACGATGACAGGCCTTCCAGTATAAGAACGGTCCTCGACCGACTCTTGTGCCTCTTCGAAACGCTTAAGCCTTTTGTTTATTTAAGCTTTACTTTGTATTTGGTCTTCATGTGTATTCTGCAATATCTGTAGAGTATCTGTGCGGTTGAATTTATTTTTCTACACAGAGAGCTTGATTCGCTTTCGTTACTCTATTCAGGAAAAATCACAGGACGCTCAATACAGAAACTGCCTCAATCTCACTAGGAAATTTGACCGTTAATCAAATGTCTGTGAAATTTTAGTTGTATGTGGTACAAGCCCCGTTTCCTTACCGAAAAGCAAACATGGATCACAAGCCACCATCCAGTAGCAATTCAAACAACTCAATCATTTCTGATTACTCAGTAGCGTAATAGTTTCGCTAAGAGATCATGTATAAAGAACTACGGTTATGGAAACTGATACTGTAGGATTCATGGGTGTAGACTGTAATTGAAATAGCTCAGCGCGGAAGTGCTGAGAAGGACTCTTAAGTGTGAAGGAACTATACGAAAGTTGAGGACAAGGCCGAAATTTAGACAAAGCTTCGAGCGAACGAGCACAGATAGGCTATCACATATGGACGAAGCCTTCTTAAATTGAGAAACGACAGAACCAATTTAGTGTCCTTTTAAATGATCGCCGCCAAGTCGGACAGGGCCTAATCAGAATTAAATTTGCTTCCTGCCTGTGGGCTTCGACAGCCCTTTTCCCTTCCCTAGACACGTAACCTGTTGGCATGGCAGAAACCTGCGCTCTAGGCGACTACCACATCGCCAGACGCGAACCGCCAGCTCGCTGATGTAATTAACGTAGCTGATGGCTAAATAATTTAAAGCTGCTTCTATAGGGACAATCGAATTGATATAGATATATGCCTATATAGTATAATACCAACGTCTGTCGTATGTAAGGCTAAGCTATAATAAATAACTGTAAATTGTCATTTTATCTTGCAGGGGTCCATAACATCGTGTCGACATTTATATATATATATATATATATGTTTTTTTTGCAAATGTAAATATTGGCAAACAGAAGCACGATTAAGCAATATGATAAGTATGATCAAGAAAAGAAAACATTCAATCAATGGATTTGTCATCAGCTACGTAGATCGTAACCTTCATAGAAAATGACACTAAGCAGATCCTTAGGATCATTTAGCCTGTTAGCTTTTTCGACTTATATCTATCTATCATTTGGTGTTGCACATTGAAGAAAATAATGTAGTAGTTTTCGTAGCAATGTTTTTTGAAAAGGAGTTCTTATCACTTTATGGAGATACAAAGATCTCCATTCGCATAATAGCATTACGCTAAGCAAGGTACTTCATTTTCCAAGAAAACACTATGACAGGTCTATTATTTTTTTTTAAATTTCATGATACTTCACTGTTAAGGAAAAGAAAAGAGCTATTTTTTTGTTGGCTTACGTGTTTACCGGATAATTGTGATTGCTTTCCCTAGCCTACCTCCTTATATATCATGTATACATTTGAAAGTAAGTGGTTTTTACTGCTGAGAATTACGTTTATGAAAATAGTTGCTGGCATAAAATAAATAACGTTAACGTTAGCGTATTTTTATCTGCTAACTTTTCAGGAACCGCGCGCAATGACAGCAATGGCCAAAGATGCCTCGACGGACCAGAATTTCGATTACATGTTCAAGATTCTTATTATAGGAAATTCGTCGGTTGGGAAAACTTCATTTCTGTTCCGATATGCCGACGATTCATTTACATCAGCCTTTGTTTCGACGGTCGGCATCGACTTCAAGGTTAAGACCGTCTTCAGACATGAAAAGCGCGTCAAACTGCAAATATGGGTAAGAAATACGGACCAAACAATATCTAGATAAAAGATAAGTACGATTAAACAAACGTGATTTTTGTCCTAGAAGGAGTTCATCAGAAATAAAGTTAACCGTTCTTGGGTATTCACTTTCATTGCTTACCTGGTGTCAGCCTGGTATTAGTATCCTTGCCTCGCACAGCTTCCGATTCCAGCGAGGACACGAAGATGAATCAGTTCCTCAAAAGTTTTGTGCTACGTATTTGTCATTAACCGCTTGCCACAAATTTGCCTGTGCGAAAGCTTATGAAGACGTCCGTAGGTCCCCTTTTCATAGCCACCGATTTGTAACTATAGGTAGACCATAGTTGAGCCAGCGAAATCGGATCGTCACGAACTACTCGTGGCGTGCGTGCAGGCATTTTTTTTAAACTTTAATAATGTACGAAAACGTTATATATTAGTGTCTCTTTCGTTGTATGTTGAAAGCAAAGATATCACATCAGTTTAGTGTGCGTATGTCTGTCTTAAGTGGAAAAACGTCACTCACTCTAGAATTTGCGAATTATTTGCATTCACTTTCGCATCCAGATATAATAATTTCAATACTACTAGAAGTTATTAATTAAACTAATAGATAAAGACTGCCCGGAATGGAGTCGCTATTCGCTAATGTACATGATACCATATACAGGTTAAGTTACTCAACTTGACGACACATTTAGCAGAGTTTGACGGTTTTAAGGATTATCGTCTGTGCCATTGATTGCGTATTTTATTCATTGTTCTGTAAATACATATCTTGATCACAATGTTTTTTTAATTTTAAAAGGACGAAAAATATCCAGGAACATGTACCTGAGCCGACTGATCAAGACGTTTATCGAACTCTTATGCCTTTTAAATTCAAGGTTTCTGTATTTGCCCATTTTTTTTATTTTTTTATATATATATATATATTTTTTTTTTATAGTCTCAAAATAAAAACCACGTTCCAAGTCGGTATTGACAGAAAAGGAATTGAAACGAAACGGAATAAAATTATTTAACTCCGGGTAACACCCCATAACTTGCGTAATTTCCTGAACGCCCTGTACACTAAACCGATGTCAAGTAAGGACTCACTCTACTAAATAATTAACTGGTAATTAAAGCACACGGCACGAAAAACATACTCGTATTTTTACAATCCTAGGTCACATCATGGACTTTAACACGATCTACACGGAAGCAGCTACACGGAAAATTAGGCAAAGCCGAAAAGGATGATGTCTTTTTAAAGGAATATCTCCAAAATGATATGTTTAAGTGTGCGGTAGAACAGGTAGTCTCTAGTCAAGTGGCGTACGTGACTGACGCGAGCTTGATCTTCAAAACTTGTCAAAATCCAGTTCGGCTGGTTTCAACCTCTTGTATTCTCTAGGCTTTTTTCTTTTGAGTATAGCCTCAGAGTCGATTGATACATTTTGAAAAAAAAAAAGCATGAATGCAGACGATAGTCACTCTGAACAGTTTGCCCAAACTATAATAGCAATCGCAGTAGCAGTAATGGATTGGAAGCTGCAACAAAAGTCTCGCAAAGCTTTCAAGCTGGCCTCAAGTCAGGTACGTAGAGATTGCACTCGACAGACATGTGCATCTGTCGAGTGCTTTCGCTCATCCTTGACCTCAATGTAGCTCGAGCCCCTAGCTTAAGTAGTTGTTTAGTTTTCCTACTGCTGCTTATAGTGCGGTTCTCCGTCCACCTGCGTTATGATCGCCCCTGCCCTTTTACCCTTTTTATTGTTGTCATTATAAGCTTTTGGTCTTTTTCTGCCGCAGCGGTACCTAATATCCGTCATCATCACGCGCATTCGGTTCTGTATCATATGATTGTGCCCCGCATACAAATCTTAATTGGCCGCGCGTTATTCGTTGGACCTTTAAAGGAGTGGATTGCAGAATTCATAAATTAGGGTGGATCGGTAGCGAAAACTAGAGAGATGTTTCTAGACGAAGGAAAATAACTAGTAACGACGACAGGCAGCGACAATGATAAAATGAGGCGCAGAAAAGTCATATGAGTGAGAACGGAGGCGGAGAAGACAAACGCAAAACCTATTTTTTTTAATAAAAAGACACCCTAAAAAAATAGGTGAACAGGTTGTAAATCATGTGAAAGAATGGCGGCCGCGTTTGGCGTCTATCAAATCAAAGAGAACGAAAATAACCGAAAACAGGGACATGGCAACAAAAGCGATGGTGGAATCATTCAGGGCGTGAAAAGATGATTACACTGCTCGAGATGTTAACGACGTGGCCGAAATACGCAAAAAAGAATTACACTGCTGTAGTTTACATTGTTTAAAGTAGATATGAATGAAGGACTTCGGTAAGCTTGTACCCAGCAGAAAACAAAAAAGTGGTAATCGATTCTTTTCATGATGACCGATCCCTCTCAGCAAATCTTGTTGAAACATTGCACGGCTGTGTAAAAATTATCTGTACAGCTTAAGACTGTAGTAGGCAGTCTTCCCTACGATTCAAACATTGTATTTTTGTTTGTCGAAGCAGCTCTAAAAAAGCAAAAAATTACTTTGTTTCTGGATTCTTTGAAAGCATCAATAGGCGAAGGTTTACATTGTCAGTTGACGTGAAAGTTTAACACATTAACGGAGCAATACTGTCTCTATGCTCCGTTTATGAATTTGTGCTTGCAGACGTATAGCCATACGTATTATTAACTGCCAAAAAAAAAAAGCGACAGTCTCTCCTTCAATGTTTGTCAGTCAGGCAAGACAATACATTTCTGCCTTTCTCGTAAAGAGCGAACAACGCCGTTAAACTAGACGGATCGCTTAGAACAGTTTTGCTGTAGCCCCATAATGAGATTGATGTATTCACGCTTCCACTTCTGAGCGTAAAGCACGGCCAATTACCAATTCTTTGTGGAAGAGACTCTTTTCATTCTGTTCCTCCTAGAACCTGTAGGATATTAGTCTAATTTCGGTTTCTCAACAAGAAATTGATTCGATATGTGTATAAAATGGTATAATATTATGCAGCAACTATGAGCAAATAACTTGTTTTAATCAGCGGAACCTTTCCACAGTCACGATATTCCTTCAGTCTTAACACTTCTACTACCTTCTTGTTGTATTCTACTTACCCTGTACACAACTCCAATCATGAACATGCGTCACGATAGAATTGACTACTAAAAACAACCCGTCCATTGATGAATGTACATATTCTTTTCATATAAGGCACACATATGCGCGCGTCGCCTTAAATCCTAAGTTATATACAGCTTGGAATTTTACAGTTCTATTGTATTTGAGTTCCGAAACTTACACAAGTTTCAACATACAGTACTTGACAATCATAATCATACAATACTTGACATTACATAAGACCATGCCTAGTTTGCTTCAACTGCATTGTCGTCCATCCCGTCTTATTGAACCAGCGTCGATTACCGAGTGAACGGAACTCGTTGCATGAGAAGATAAACTCGTAGAAAGGGTACAAGGTCATTCATGGTGAAAAGTCGTCATTACTAAAGCCGAAGATACTTGAAGGCAGGTACAAAATACGCTGGCTGTCCATTAATATAAACGTCCTTGTTTTTATCGCTTTTTCGGTAGCGTCTGCCATTCATACGGTGGGAGCTCCTATGTTCGTTTTGAGATCTGTGTATTCTACTCTAATGGCTGGTCGGCAGTCTTCAAACCCTCGGACAGATGATAATAAATCCTACCTAAACTTGTATATGACTGTGTGATATACTTCATGTGATATGACTAAGTAGAGAAACATCCATTAATTGCTATACAATACCAATTTCCTTATAATGCGTTGGAAAACTCTTGTCGGACGGACTAGGCCAGACTTGACTAAAACTAACTTGAATATATTTCATTATGGGTTGCGCAGAACTTGAAGTTTTGCGCATACATAATGCCTCACATGCAGCTAATTGTTAACTCTCTAACCTAATTGGTCAGCTGCTGAATTTGGTCCTGGAACGCGATTAATTGCAGAATGCCATCTTTAATTTTATTATTAGACACGCAGAGAGAGTCTCACGAATAAAAACACACAGAAAGACGACACCCACTACTGAAATTTGGTTTGAATTCGAAATTAATTACGGTCTGTCACTTTTAAAATCGAAGCACTTCCGTCTTTGCATGTGTATTCGTACACAAATACAGCTGGTCATTGTATTCTATTGCTATGTACGATGTCTTTCTATTCTATGCACATGGTATTTTCGATAGCTGCAATGGCAATTTTAGCCCGACCCATTTCTTGCGGCGCAGCATAACCAGATGAGTGAAAAAATTGACTATCGAAACAATAGAAGGCTCCGTCCCGCAAAGCCGAGCACGCTTTATTACTATTATTATTGTTACAGGTGTATTGTATAGCCTTCAGGCCATTTCGCGGTCGTCGAGTTGGCAACAGCTATAGCATAATAAGTATAAAATATGTTACCGTAACACCCGACCTAATTCCCGCGGTCATTTCGATTCGAAGCTTTTCGATATACAGAATCGATGGCAGAACGCGTAATAATAACAAGATGCTGCAACAAGCTTTATGCCCACCAAATCTCTTCGACGTGTACCCTGGTATCAACGTTGTTGCTGAAAAAGATTCAATATTTCAGTGATTAATTATCAGCATTTACCTTTTAAACACACAACACAAAATCATCAACCGCAGTTTATGAATTTCGAACTATCAAATAAAAATTAGCTGAGTCTATGTATATTAAGTTAGCTAAAGTTCAAAGTTGCTTGCCTCTACATAGAGGTATATTTCACACAATGAAAAAATATTCGCTTTTCTCTTGTTCAATTTAAAGCTAATTTCCACGATCCAAGGAGATCCTGCAATAGCGGTTCCCCCAAGCTAAACGGAATTTTACTCAGTTCGACCAGTTCGAGACTCTTTTTAGAGAAGTTAAGTTCAATCTTACCGAATTTCGAGATGCGAGATGGCAAGCCGTTCTTCTTTCAACAGCTGATGTCTATAAATTCTAGCTTTTCTTCAGCCGACAGACGTCTAGATTTGTACACGAATTTTGCAAATGAAAAGGATGGCTTTACGGTACGAAATTAGAATGGACCCTGCCCTATACGACAAGATAGCTGAAGTTCTTAAGTTGCCACATTCAGCCATGGAATGAAGTTGATCTATGTATTGGTCACAAATATTCCGATGCATTTAATGTTTTAGAGTGGGCATTTTTCATCCTAAAAAAAAAAAATGTTGAGCACAAATATTCTTCTGTACTTATTATACCTACATATGTGTTATGTAGATTAACTAAATGTATCTATTGATTTAATATACCAATACTGTAGATTTCCTGAGATTAGTTGGTTGAATATGTATGTAAGTAAAGGCTTAAGATACGTCTGGAAGTAATGAACTTCAGTCCTGATAATTCGGCCTAATTGACAATAAAGAGCGTATTTAGCTTCCTAAGGTTAACACCGAATCGTAAAAGTAAAGATCAATAAACCTTTACAAAGCCTTGTCATCGGCTCTCGGTTACCACTATATTAGGTCGTTGTAAAAAAGCCTAATAAAAGGGGCTAATAAAAGGTTTTCTGACAAGAAGCTTTCCTATTTGAAATGTCATTATTGTTTCTCGCCGTTACAGTTGACTGTAGAATTTACTAACGAGCGAAATAATACTGCAGTACATAGCAGTATCTCTGAGACTTGAAATAGAATAAATGCTATGTGCGGCCTCTAATATATATATATATATACATGCATTCCTACCTATCAAGGATCGAATAAATAAAGAGACTAGGGTTTGCAATGCTGTCTTCTATAATACAGCCATATATATTATACCTAATGATCAATACAGTAGTTTAAACTGATGCAAGAAGTGGTACGCTACATGTAAGTTCATAAATACACAAGCCGATTAGCATGAAAATCGTGGACGTACGTTAGCAAAATAACTTTGATGAATGTAGCGTATTGTGTACCATATACATTATTTAGAATCTACTTCAAGCCAAACTCCACTATAATAATGGTTTAAGCTAAATGTTTGATACTGGCGTCAAGCATTGCCTTAGACAGAAAATGTACGTTAGACTTTAAGCGTAAATCATTTTACATGTCTATATAAACATATGTTCATTGCGCTGCGTACGCTTATGGTTTTTGCGTGTGATAATTTCTTTGTCTCTTTTAGGACACCGCAGGCCAGGAACGGTACCGCACTATAACAACTGCCTATTATAGAGGTGCCATGGGTTTCATTTTAATGTATGACGTCACTAATGAGGACTCGTTCAAGTGCGTTCAGGACTGGGTCACCCAAATTAAGACATACTCCTGGGACAACGCCCAGGTCGTACTTGTCGGTACGTAATTCCCTTCAAAATCAGCCAGTATACATGATTGCCTAATCAATAATCAATTATATTGGCACAGCCTAATAAGACGAGGGTAACGTATGCACTGCTGAGAGTGTGCTGAGGCCGTGTTCTATTCTTAGCCATTTAATTGATTAGTGTGTCGACTGACGCACCTTGTGTTTTGCCTTTTGTTTTCATCTTCGCCCATAGGTAATAAATGCGATATGGAGGACGAGCGGGTGGTTTCCACGGAGCGGGGTCGCCAGCTGGCCGAACAACTTGGGCTCGAGTTCTTCGAGACGTCTGCGAAGGAAAACATCAATGTGAAGCAGTGCTTTGAACGGCTCGTCGACATTATCTGCGACAAGATGTCGGAAACTCTCGATTCGGACCCTTCACTTGTCGGTGGATCTAACAAAGGCACCAGACTGACCGACCAGGCTGCCCAACAGGGAGGACCCGGTCAGAACTGCCAGTGCTAAAAAAGGCACATGCCAAACTCGGATTAGGTATGCGTCGAGGACAGGTGAAACGCTGCATCAGTCAGCACAAGCTATAAAAGTCGCTAAAAACAAGAGAAATTTGAAAACGATTAGGAGGTGGAGAATAATGCTACTTGCGGTGTGACCGGCAGTAAACCGATCTGATCCGAGGTGAAGTCACCGCACTTCATATGTCCGCTTGCTACGCAAGACCAGATGGGACATCAGCTTTGCAAGGCTAAAGATATAAGAAAAAAAAAACGACCGAAGTTGCAATTAGAGTTATTCGAGGAACCCTGGATGTAATGCAGGAAATGTAGGCGCCTATATTGGAAACAGTAGGGGTAATAAGGAAGTTGGTCCCCTGATTGAGGAACGAGTTTTTTTTCTTTCAACTGAACTACATTGGTCATAACCTGATGATAGGCTGGTGATGGGTGTGTATGTATGCATCTGTCATCCATGACCGAAAATAAATGCGGGGAAACAACCATAGGATATAACAAACATTAAGGTATTGGTAAGGAAAGAATGGATAAGTTAACTGGCTACATCAGAATGGAATATTTACTACTTTAAAAGGTGACGAATGAGGAAGCGTTCAAACGAGACACCGTCATACAGAGTTCTCGGAAGGTGCCTAGAAGCTGATAATATGAATAGCTATTGAGAAGAAATACATTATAGTGCTATGCCCTACCTTGTAGCTTCCTTATGCTGCGGCTGAATGAACGCTAACTTGGATAATGACAGCATATGAAGTGGAGATTTAAGCTAACTAATAATTATATAGCAGAGCTGAAATGAAAAAGCTAATAGACGAAATAATGATAAAATGGGATTATTTTGATGCATATGAAGAAGTGAAAATAAGAGGTTCCCCATGCCAAGATAGAAATAATAATTTGACGATGATAATGATAACTTCGATGACGGCACAGGAAATGATAATGATTTTATTCCGTACGTGACGTCGGAAACACGATCTCTCAGGGGATTAAGCAGAATAAACGAGTTAGACGAGCTTACAAAGACAAAAAACCGACAACGTTTCATTTGAAAAAAAGCACCAGATGATACTAGCGCAAAAAAGAACGTTAGCTAAGCTATATAAGCTAAACAGAAACAAATATTTAACGACGTGATACAGAAAGCTCGGCACATGAAGATGATCGAACACGTGACACAGCCTGATCTTAAGAAATGTGCGTTGTTTATTGTGACATAAGCAACCCAAGAAATGAAAACTCTGGTAGACGGATGACTATGGACACAGAGTCGGACAATGAGTCAATTTAATGGTGATGATACCAATGGTAATTGATATTACTATTACTTGCCACTATACGTACATATATACGAGCCGTTTAGGAATAGGCACAACAACCAATAAACACATACAAACGTAAAGGTGTCGATATACCGAGTACATCCGAAATACTAAAATGACAGTGAATTTCAGGCCACTCAATGAAGCTGAGGCGAGAATAGAAGGTCAAGTGCACATTGGCTGAGGTAATGGTTATATACGTGCACCCAAACATGTTGTCACTGTGCATACGGGACCTGTTGTCCTTGCCAGTATAGTAAGCCTTTAGTGTTAGTGATTGAATATAGCTGTTCCTTAACCCGTCTTTCTCCAACGAAATCGAAGCTGACGAGAACAAGCCAACGATGGAGGATTCGCCGGGCGAGAGCGCGGTGAAAAATCCATACGGAATGGCAATATTGATGCAAACGTACAAGTAAAACCAAAATTACTACGCACGTCTGTTTTATTAGAGTAAATCATTAACGAAAATGTAGGGATACACGAATCCGAAAACAACAGCTTGACAAGCATATCAAATTCTGCCTAGTAAAATGTCATAGCGGATTATATAAAGTGCTTTGAAGGTTTAATTGATTCTGGATTAGCTATGAACAAAAGATGATGTATTTAACATCAACATAGATTTTAAAAATAGCGCGTGAATATTGGTCTCGTAAATGAAGCTGAACTTGGATTTTCATGTAAGATATATTGTCTTATTTGTAACTTTCATGCTTCCAAGGCACGGCGCTGTTTCTTTGAGCAGTGCAAGTCAGAACGATTAAATCTATATCACTTTCAGTTGTTTGTGATGATAAATATACGAAGATTTAGTTTAATCACAGTCGATGTGTCTCTAAAAGATGCATCTTTAAACCAACAAACAGGACGGATCGACAGTGTATCTTAATCTCATCGAAAAAAATCCCTACAAAGTCGACCCGATCATTGATAGCTGTTGTAGGCGTGTGGACATGCGGTCTACCCGAAGCGTGCTCATTGTCCGGGAAGCACAATTTCGGCACTAGCGATGGCCTTTGAGTTATCTTTCGCCGATCAGGCGATAGTCGTAGGCGTCATCAGGCACTAAATGTTTTCACTATAAAATATTTTGAATAAAAATATGGTGGCCCTATTTCCAGGTAAATGTATATGGCTGCCCTAGTCCGTAAATAAAAGTGAATGTCAACTCGTATTGTGGCTAGACAAAATATTTTGACGTCGGTCGAATTTTCGTCCAAAAACACACAAAGAAAAACAATGACCTAGAAATGAGAATTTCGAATACGATAGTGTTTAAGGTTGAACGGCCACTAGAAATCGTTTGTTAAATAACATCTTCCTGTTCATAACCTCTTTAAAATTGCATTTGGCAGTGGCAATAAAAGTCGTCAACAGACATCTTGTACCAATATCGTCGATAATTAAATCAAAAAGTATCACGAGGGTCAACCAAAGATGTCTCAATCGAAAAGAAAAGAAATTTATTAACATTGAAATCAACGGATTAAACGAAAGAAATGGCCTTGGCACAGAGAATATAATCCTGACAAAAAGTTAGCTAAACATAGACACGTCTTGACAACAATTCGAACGAGAGCTAAGGTTTATAAAGTAGAATGCAGAGATTAGGTAGGTAAAAAAAAAGTGACAAATGTACCGGAAGTCGAACGGTTATGATAAACAAAGAGATATATTCGACGAAAAGTGCGAACATGAAGAACTGAAATTTCATTCGGTGGTTTATCATCGTTATATATTACCCCTATCTCCAGTATCCGATTCACATATGCTAATTGACAAATTGGACGAATCAACTTGCCATAAAAATATTTTTATTGTCGTTTTAAAATGCGCAATTTCATGTTTTCCATTGAATTTTATGGAACGGAGATGCCGCTGCATTTTTTTGTTGCAAACAAAACTTGAGGTTAGTTATCTAACGTTAGCAGGACACGTCTAAAATCAGAACATTCTTAACAGCACAAAAATAGTTTTTGTTCATAACAGTTTAGCTGCATTTGTTTCATACGAAGGGAATGTTTCAAAGACAAATACTTTCGTACATTTCATTACATATCTGTAATTCTATGATTAACTGAATTTAACAAAAAATCGTACGCTAAAGAAATGCTCTTTTAAAAAATATCTTTTGAAAAAAATGATAGCAGTTGAAGGAAGCAATGATGAGAAGAAAATTACCAACAGTTTCTCGGTTGTTGCATAAGCGTCGATAATTCCTACCATGGTAGGTTCATGATAGCTAGGCATGTTAATGTCATATGATGGATGATAAATACGAAATAAAAATAAGATGATTATTAACTTAATATATTTAGATTGTGGAGAAAAAAGATGGATAAGTATAATAAAATGATTATAAATATGATACAAATGCCAATATGATGCGCGAGAGAGATATGTGACAGAGATTACAGGTGACTTATGAAGCCAGAAGGATTGTTTTACCTATTTACCCAGCCATTTTGAATTATATCTTGTTGGTTTATTTGCAGCGTGTCCGACGTAGATGAAACACCGCGAATATAGAGATTAATTACGTAATCGTTGAGTGATGTTTTTAAATAAATGACCGCAACAGCATACTGTGAGTTTGCCAAGAACTGGTTTTACAACTGTGGAGAATTACGTATTATATTGATACTACACAAAATCAGAAAAAAAAAGAATAAATCGAGAGAAAAGGACGAGAAAATATGGTGCACAAAGTGAAAATGAATACTTTAAACTTGAGGGTTTCACAAGCGTCTATGTCGAATCCACAAGCGAATAGAAAATATATCATACATAGGGTCACTGGGCAATAGCCACAATAAGAAATGATAGGATTCTGCACAGCCTATGAACATAAAACTATGAACTGTCCGACGATGGAGAGTGGAAACAATTAGGAAATATGAAAATCTAACAAATATGACAAGTATTCATATATATGGATATTTGTGGTGAAAAGAATACGGTACATGTATCAGCTGTAAACACAAAAGTAGGAGAGATTGTATGGGTTTTGTCGTTGATTCTACAGTAACGTAACCTGATGTAGGTGGCAGTAACTCAATACCGATTGATGATTGATTGGTAATAGTGGAGTGCTGAGTTCTATAAATGAAACACAACACACAGTTATTCGGTAACAGCGGCTGAGCGAGACATAAATCCACGTATGATAAATAAGATTAAGCCGGCGACAATTTCGGAGGTGAGGGCTTGTGTGGAAAAGCTCGCCTAATGAGTTGGGTGTAATGAAAACCTAACCAATGAACGGTTAGCAGAAATAGTTTTCATGAAAACAGAAGATTACCTATTGAGTTATATATGCATGATCATGATAATATAATGATAACAAATATGGTAACGCCCATAGAAAACATATGCCTGAGATGAGAAAACAGAAGATGAGATAAAGCAAGAAAGTATCACCTTCGAAAACTCTCCCCCTGCTATATATATTGCTCCATAAATAAATATAAATGTATGAACGCACGTTGAAACGTCTCGAGCGTTAATGATAAATATAAAAACAGAAATGAACAATATCACGTAAAACATAACGATAAACAATAACAAAAAGAACACATAGAAGGCGTGGAAGCTGTGAGAGAAAAGCGATATATACTAATAAATATTATAATAATGAAATAACAATAATGATATGATAATTAAAAATTGATTATATACACATCGCGATAAAATAATTACGCCTTTTATGAGTGGAACACAAAGCAAAATCTACGTTATCAACGATGGCGATGGTGAAATTGCGATTACGAAATATACAGTAAATACGAACAAAGAGGATGTGGCAACAATAAAATAGTCAAATATAACAAAGCATCACCACGACGCTAATGAACATAATGAAATGATGTGGAATGGACGAAATGACTAACTCTAAGTAAACTGATTGTACTACAGAGATGAAATGTACATGTAACATAATAAGTGAAATAAAAACAAAGAACACGACAACAACTACAACAACAACAAGACGAAAAAAGACCAATAAAACTGATGGTGACAACAAAAATTACGCATTAAATCGAATCCTTATTGTTGCATTAACTTTCTATAGTCATTTAATTCCAATCTGTATTTTAGACATTCGATATATCATTGACTAATCACAAACGGGGCATATCTGCCTTATGGTCCGCTCTAAATTTCTCCGTAGAAATCATTATACACTATTATAAGATGAGTCACCGATCACCGTTGGTCCTGGTAACGATGACGGTCCGTACACTGTTTCAAAAACTCTGCACTTCTCTTATATATATCGGTCATATATACATATATAACAATATCGGTACAATATCATTTTTGTAAAAAAAAATTGAAATATGTCTATCTCTCAAATTTAAAGCAAAAATAGTACCAGTCTTCTTGTTTTAACCTCATTTCAATGACTTTCTTCATCCTTTCACGTCTGGTGATAACAACAGAGGCCGCTGTAGGCCCCCTTAAGTGAACAGCGAATCGTCCGCTGAAAAGAACCACGTCTGTTTTTCTCTTGCATTATAAGATGGATTGTGTCCACAAATTTAGGTACTACTGTGAGAATACCGCTTGTTCCATTTATACTGCAAGCAGACTTTACTTGCATGAGAAACATATCGCTGTGTTACTTCGGGGCCCATAACTGAAACAGAGAAGGAAGAAAATCGAATAATGTGTAAGCCATAATCAGTTTGTTAGTCAATTTCTTGGGTAGTACGATGACCGGCTCATTACACTACGATAATCTTTATCTAATATATATATATAGCCATAGTATAGATTTATCTGGAACACCTACTGCCGAAGATCGTTATGGCTATTCGGTTAATCCATTAGAATAGTTCTATTTGTGTAACGATATCCTGTTGAGATGAAGAGCAAAAATATTCAATGGACATTCGATGCACGGTTTATTCCAGCTATGTTGCAATGTGTCGCTGAATTTTTCGATCAATATCGAGGTCGACCAAATTCAAGGCTAGTAGACATTACTGGATTTGCTTTAGTTTTTGTTAAATATGAATTCCTCTGTAAATTACGACTATATGTAACATACCAAATTATTGAGCAGAGCTGGCAAAAGTGCGAACAGCAGATGTGACATTGGCGTACGCAATTATCGCATACCGCGGCATCACAGAAGAAGCAACACGTTTTACACGAAGCTCGACGAGTGCATGACGTGCATTCTTCTGTAACCATTGAGAATGCAGCGAGAATTTACATGAGGTGAAAATCGCAGAAGATTAATGAAATGAAAAATAGCATGCTATAATAACACTGCGATAAGTCTTTTTTCTTCTTTCTAACATTAATACCAATTATTTTTATTTTTCATACAAGTATAACACGTTGGAAATAAATAGCTTGAGTTTAGAAAAGCTTAATAAATATAAGCAAAACCATATATATTTGTTAAATTTTCCTAAAAGACAACGAATCTTTGATACTGGTTTGTTAATAAAAAGTATGATAGCATTGAACAATGATAGGTGTATAGATAAAACGCACGTACTAACTGGAAGTTCAATAGATGAACTGCCGGGTTTCACACCAGGAAAAAACTGACTTTGTGCACGAAAGAAATCCTTCGAACCGTTCGTCAGCTTTGATAAAGTTTGCTCTGTAACGAAAAGCTTTCTGTTACTGTTTAAGTAATCAAACTTTGTACATAGCAGAATACACCTGCTATAATTTTTAATTTAAATTGAGGCTTATATGTTGGGTCACAAGTGGTTCCTCAACGACAATAATGTGCTTTGGTGAGAATAAGATGAACTCCTTCACGTTAAAATATGAAGAATGACGACCAATCCGCTATTTGTCATATGCCTTTCTATGATTTTTAGTGTATTATGGTATTTAGGGTATATTCCATTATGTAGCTTGTGCCGTTTTCTAATCGCAGTCACTATTATCATTAATAATCTATCAGCAGTTTTCTTTAAAGACACGCGCGCACCTGTCATTTCTCTCTTAGCGCTCTCCTTCGCAACCTTTCTATCACATGTTTTTAGTGGAAGGTCATCGTTCCGTCGAATAATTAAGTTATGAATCAATCCTTTTTTGACGTAAGAAAACATTCGTTGCCTACAGACATTAATAACTGCACAGGTTATAATACTAACCCAATATTCACGGTTCAATAAGTATCCAATTAACGATTCTGCTTAAATTCAAGCGATTTCAATATCCACATGAGATATATACTTACTATATTATAGTCAGTAGTATCGATATAATTCAAGAAAACAAAATTGTGAATTAATCATTCGATTTTCATGATGACAGAAGGCCTACATTGCTATCAACTTTGTCTTTATATTCCTCATGTCTTTTGGCGTCCTCTTGAAGTTACCACGAATGAGTCACCTATGCTATGAGAGCTGGTATCAAAATGCCAAAAAAACATTTACCCCATATCTCAATCGCTGTAATTAACGATATCACGTATGTGATATTCCCACAAGAAACAGTAAAAAAAGTGCTTTACTTTGACTTTTCTAGTACGTTATATTTTGCCATTCGTAAAGCCGATTGTTCCAAACCGACTCTATTCGACGATACAAATTCTTAATAAGGTACCTTCTATAATAAAGACGCTTCTGCGGTAAAGTCTTATGATCTTTCGTTGATCAATCCAACAGAAAGCATTAAGCTTCTGGGACAAGCCAACGTTCAGTCAATTCTGATGCTAAACGTGGAAAAAACGTCCGCGCTAACAGATGTTTTGCTCTACACACAGAAATACATCCGTAATGCTGGATGTACAAACCATAGATTTTAGGCATCCGATCCACTGTTGAATTGTACACCTTCTCAGTAACGTGCAGTTTCGACTGTAAGCCTTGATCGTACTCAGCGAATGGGAAACTTCGTTTCGCCACCATCTAAATAAAATAGATAAATTGCATGAAAAAGAAAAGATCACTTAGCACTGCATTATGGTACAAACAAGACAGTCGATCAGAACCATATGGAAGGTGCAAGCATCACGGAAGATTCGCTTATATATTATCTGGTAAAGCGAAGTAAGACAGAAGAAAGAGCCCCAGTGGTGTTTTCGCGCTATACGGCGCCTCTTAATACGTAAACTGTCGGCGCAGCGTTATACACAATGCACACAAAAATGACTATCACTGCAACAGCATGGGTTGAATGTAAAAAAGTGGTCCCGGCAGTCCAAAGAAAAAGCTTTCTGCGTAAATACTCATTCGTAACAAATGGTAAGGGACCAAATTGTTATGAGCTGCTGAAAATTTTCTTTATGACGAATGATCGGAAAAAGTTTTGTAGAAAACTTACGGTTTTTGGTATGGATGACCAAGCTACACTTGTACGGCAACACCTTTCTTACACGGCACACGAAAATAGAGAGGATGCGCGAGCTAAATGATCCATGAAGCTTCTATGTGTATGTTACTTCTATCTTCAACGTGTTCACTGACTATGAGATACTTAAAAGGATGCTTTATCGAGGTAGTTGCATTACTAAAAAAGCGCAAAATAGATCATTTTTTTAATGACTTTATGAATCAACGATGGCATTGCCCATCTGTTTATATGGTTTTGGCAAAATTCTGAGTTAGCGATTCATAGAAACTTCGCTACCGTAACCTGACTCATTGTTGGCGCCAATACTGCAACAGCTGAGCATGATAAACGTCGCATGATTCAGGTTAAACATAAATACTTGGATCGCTATACTGATTAAGAGAATACCCAGGTTTTTAATACATTTTGGAAAAAAAATCTAAATCTAGCAATTTGAACAAGATGAGCGAAGAAGTCGGTCTGGTTTCTACGGAGGAAGCCACTGACGTAGAGCCGCAGGATAAAAGCAATGAGAAACTTCTTAAGTTACCCTTCTCCAAAATCCGGACAATTATGAAGCTTGATCCTGATTTTAATGGAGCTTCAGTAGAGGCAGTATTTCTCATCGCAAAAGCCACGGTGCGTATTTCCACTGGAATTTTCCGACCTCTCAAACGAATTCCGAAACTAGTTGGAAAAGGTTCGATTAATTAAAGTAACAATGCGTGCGTAGAGAATGCGGATCATATCTAGAGAACGTTAAACTCGACTAATGCCTAAAATTTACCTGAAATTTCGGATCATCGTCTCGAACTAGTGTCATTAGTTTGCTGTTACGTTAATTTTTACTTCATCGCGTCTGTGGTGCAGCATATGTCACTGCTATTTGTGAGAATGGGTAACTTTTTGTAAATGTTCGTACTGAAAATTGTTCAAATCTTCTGTAAGCACTACGTTATGTCGACTCGCTTTTTGGCCGGGAAACATAAAATCATGTCAAATGTGTTTATTGCAATTAAGCATTGCTCTTATTTGGACGACCATACTATACCGCACAATTCCGTATATTCCGTGCGCGTAGTTACAACTTGCAGGTTTTAAGACAGTTGGCCACAGCGAAGCATTCCTAAACTTTACTGCTCTACTATGAAACGATAAATGCAATTAACTCGTTACATGTTTAGATAAAATGATTCATATCCCGCACATTCTTTTCAGGAACTTTTCATCGAGGCATTGGCGAAGGAGACCTGTAACTTTACTCAGCAAAACAAAAAAAAAACTGTGCAAAAGAGGGATGTAGGTATGTGAGTTTGACAGATTTGTCTCACATTGGTATTGTTGAAGACATTTTACGCATTTTATCAATTCTTGTTTGTTCTTAACTGCTATCGTGAATGTTTACGCCGGTAACAGCAATGAGGAATGCACCCTTTCTAATGTGTAGCCCATTTGCACCAATGGGTATGGAGTTGCCTATTATAATTGGGCCGATGCCTGTTTCGCTTGTACAGCGAAATCGTCACATCCCTTTATTGAAAGTTTTCCAAATAAACCGTTCTTGGGTGACTTTTGTATGCTACATGAGTGTAAACATTTTCATTATGCCGCCACGATGTTGCGCTCTCTGGGTATAACAGTGTCTTAAACAACAAATAGAGGTTTTTTCTTAATAACAGTTTGCTTTAATGGTCCTATGGTTATATGGAAATTTCTTCTATACCTGAAAGTTAGAAAAATGCGTTAACCTTTCCACTTGTTGCTGTAATGATGCTTTTATAGATGAAACCGTGCAAAAATAAAGCAGATTTATACCAAAAGGGGATTGCATAGTACAGATTTTTATTACTTAATACGAGTGAGGAAAAATATGTTTTTACATTATCACATTTACAGATTCTGCTGTGGATTCTGTTGAAGCGTTTAGCTTTCTGGAAGGATGCCTTGAGTAGACGTAAGCAAAGATTTTATAGTACTTTTGTTTCGGTAGCTTAATATGAGTAATAAACATGACTATCTATTTAAAAAAGACAATTTTTTTGGCGTATTCACTTTACCTTTATTATTAATGCCACTTGCTATTCAGGCGGCATTAAACGGTGATAGCATAGCAGGCTATTTACGCAAAGAAAATATATATTTAGATTATACGACCCCGTCAGTTGGCTGTTGGATTAGCAAAAGCTCTGTGCTAGAAATGGTAGCACCTAATGTCTTGTACTGGAATTCTCTGTTTAAATAAAATAATAATAATTTTTCAATAAAAAATCGAACAATAGCAATGATTTATAATAATGATAACGACTCTATAGTTGGAATTTAATTCGAAAATGATAGAAACTCAATTTTTTTCTCCGACAGGTTCTGGGTTTGAAAATAATCTCAATTGGCTTAATAGCACAACGACTTTTTTGCAAGGTCTTTTTAGATGCTGTTTTATTTTTTTTAAGTTGTGCTTCGTATTGAACGAAGCTCCGACCGCGTACATAGTCATATTTTTAAACGGAGCTATTGCCACAGATGGGTTAGTATTGGATCGGCTGTAGTTGAATGTTATTGTTGTTCTTTTAAATAGCAATAATAAATAATTTTAGTAGTAGTTGAATTTCATATCGTTGAATCATTGCCATCGTACTCAGAGATTCAAGTTCCTCACAGACACTCTGAGAGACCTCGAATTTCTTTTCGGCTATCTTTAGCTAGCTGGAGAATTCTCTTGATTAAGAGCATTCACATTATCCTCTTATATGTGTATATTTTTTTTAAGGCATGTATATTATAACTGGCGTGCATCGCAACTTGGCAGCAGTGTTTGCTTAGACGTTATCAATTAAATAGTGTAAATCTTCCTGTGCTAAAAGTTATATGGTAACGTACGCAGACGGAATGGTTGCCTTTCATCACCATATCTATAATAGTTCGTTCGCAACTGCAACGTAGCTTAGCCCTGTCAGAGCATACTTCAAAAATGGTATCCAACTTACCTGTAGGCTTAAAACCTGCAACCATAAAAATGCAAAAAGGTTTTCTATGAAAAACGATTTTGAATACTTACCCCCAATCCTTTTAGTTAGCTATCTTGTAGTTTTTGGAAGCGATAGAAGGTGGCTCCAACAAAAGATAGTTTTTTTTTCTTATTTCGCTGTATCATAGAAATATATTTTAGATTAATATTAATCTAACAAAACACAAAAAAACATGTGTTTATATTTCAAGGGACGTTTTCTTTCCTTGGCTTCTTTTCTTTATTAACTTTGACTTATTTTGTAGAAGCCACCTTCCCTTTGTCGGTACCAATCTGACAGCTGAATAGGGTTACATAGATAGTTCAGAACTTTCAGATGATTTTCTTCTATCTCACTCCTGTTGTCGTCGTGCAATTGAATTCGTGCCACCCTCGAGCACGACGACAACTCTTCAGTCTCTATCTGACTAAACGTTCCACATTGCCTGCGCGCTAGATTCGCCGCTATCTTGTAGACCATGGTGTTCAAGATCCTCGTCCTAGGCATCTCGCATTGAATTCGCAGACGCTTTTCATTTTGTTGCATTCTTCATCCTTTTCCTCTCACTCTATTTTCGCCTCGGCCCTCTCTTCTTTACCAGATCTTCCAACGTACCCATCTGCGCTTGTCCTACCTAGTCTAGTTTATGAACCTATCTAGCCGTCCCGTTGTTGTTAATATCTTCAATTATTAATTAGCTGTATATCGTAGGGTCGCTTATTGCGACATGATTATAACAGTACAGATTCATGCCATGGATAGTAATGTTTTCGTTTTTGTTGGAACAATTCAGCGACTAATACTGAACATCCGATGCAAATTTCGAACGTTCTATTAGCCGAGATTCCCTTGTCAGTGTGAGAGACGTTTAGTTTTGAATCATTATAGGTGCCTAGTTTTGCTATATACTCTAGTTAGGTTTTGTTTGATGTTTTTTTTTTATAACCGACGTTGATTTCTCGAACCTTCAATCATCACAATAATTTGCAGTTAATCAGTTATTGGCGCGTTATTCTCATCCATTCGCAGGTAACATCATTAAATCTATTTACTACGACGACATTTTCCGTGACATAGATCTGAGGATTTTGCTTCATCACTTAGCCTCGTCACTGAACAACAATTCGAGTTCAGACCTTTCGGCAGCTATTCTTGAAATGCAATTATTGCTGCAGTCAATGTGACTGGCTCCGAACACCTCCTGAGATGCGTACACCATATAGAGGTAACCATCTTCGTCTTTATCGGTGCTGTAAATTTCCGACATTGTCTTCGACAGAGGCGGCATCACACGCTGATTGACCAACAAGAAGAACGCCTGCAAGAAACAATGGACACAGCAGAACGAGAGTAATCACGTTGGCCTTGTCGTTATACAGGCAGCAGCGAATGCTTTCAGCATCTATCCAGCAATATGATCTAGGTTTACATTCAGTTCACCTGCACGCTGGCACAGACTCAAGTTTGAAGATACTGGAAATCTGTCAAGAATTGTTTCAAGCATCTTATTAACCTCGGACGCTATTTTTTTTACATGATAACTTTGGAAATCAGTGTCTTAATTGTGTTTTACTTGTCCTTGATTGCTTGGTTCCTATAAAATTAACACGAAGGTCAACAATTTCACTATGCTACATACTTGGTCAGGGTGAAGCTCGAGTCGTCTGCGGATAGTTCGGAGAAGGTCGCCGAAGGAAAGGTAGTCCGAAACCAGAAATTTCGACCTGAAACAATTGCCTCCGTTCTTAGTAGTTTAACATGTAAATAGCGGTCGTCCGGGATCCTACAATTAGTAATGTATTGTCTGCAAATAAGACAAATCTCTGTCGCGTAAACAGCACGTTCTAAATGAACAGCTTTATCTATTAGCGCTTTAAAAAAATATATATAATAATAATAAAAAACATAAAAAAAGCACCATCATTTGAACTGACAATGTATATCGTTGTATATATTAAATATGGGTACCTGTCAAGACGCGGGAGCCGCTTTTCATTATTGTAGCGCTCGATAACGCACGGGATCTTATCATTATACTTGTCAAGAATGTCTTCGACGTCGCGCTTTCGTTGGGCTAGAATTGATTCAGACGGAGGACACGCACCGAAAAGTAAACAAAATAAAAGCTTTATTAGATTTAATGACCACCCCTTAAATCTTGCTAAATTAAGACCTTACTTATACTCTATTGTAAATCGAAAGCTGTAATTGAAAAGGAATGATTATTAATCAGATACGGATCCGATATTGTCGATTACATTGACGTTTACTAACGAGAAGCCACCTGGAGAAAAGGTTTTGTTTTGGCAGTATTGCACGCGGTTTGAATCACGAACGCGGCATCAATAACGTGATCAACACTTGAGACATCTAGCAGTGGAGAGGCACATATTGCAGCATATAAACATTTAATTGCATGAATATCCTACCTGATTCTTTGTATATTATTTTATCATACAGCAAGAATAACACTATAACTCAGGGCAAAACTACTTCAAATCACAGTTCCAAATGGAAAATATTAAGAAAGACTACACAAGGAAACATCTGGAAGTATGGACAGGAACAAGCGGGTCCCATAAATCTTTATGATCCAAGAAAAGGCGAGACTGTAGATCTGACACTTTTTGGATAAGGTTACGATGTTACCAGTGACACGTTACTCCCAAACCAGTATGTATAACAACACTGGCTGAAATCTTCATGCTGCGGTACCGCTGTCAGTGCGTTAGTCGTTTGTAAACAGCGATCGCCGAGATAATAGGGTTTAAAAAAGCGAGAACAAATAAAACTGAACTTCGAAAAAATTATAAATTACTATATATTACAATTAGAGATTAAAAAAATTACTAGCTGACACGCTCGTGCTTGTACGACATAATATATTTATTCATGTAGACACTATATTTTACATACAATGGTCAATACGCAGTACTTTTTGTGGTATAGCTTTGGCTTGGTGCGCCAGTTGCAAGTGTGTCGGCATACCCGCGTTCCAGCGAAGATACACCTTATGTTTTACTGCCTTGTTTTGCACTCGTGAGCAGATCATCAACCAGCTCACGACCGCGCAATATTCTAATCTGTCGCAAATCACTAATACTCCAATCAGAACAAATTAACAATACTATACTCCTAAAGAAGTTGCGTAATTCAAGCCGCTGCGTGTAAAAAGAAATGGTGATTTTTTACTCCCCCCCCCACCCTCGCACACACATTCGCTGTCCAGATGGGCTATTAACCCGTATTTATTATTACTTACTCATAAAGAAACGTATCTAACTGTTCTCAGCTCGCTTTTTTTCTCTCTAAAACAAATAGAATCGGGCATATTTTAAGAAATAAACTCAATATTTGTTGTGTATAAATTTTTGCTAGATTGACGAATAGTGAAGCACCCAGACCACCATAAACATACAGCGTCACTTCGTTTATTTCCATTTGGACAAGGACACACAATTAGTCCCTGGCCTAGAAACGAGAAACTAGAAAGCAAGATGGCCCAAGAACGAAAAGTTTGAGTTGGATACTACAGAAGAAAATAATACTCGGGTGTGGCTTGGTAAAAAAGCCGCAGGTGTGACGTAAACGAAGGATGAACAATACCATATTCAATCCCTATCAAAATGGAAGACTTATTGATAGGGGTAAAAAGATACAACGAAAGGAACTTTATATCGCTCTCTGAACAACAGGCATGCTCTAACGACATGTGTTATCAATGAACGGCTGTTTACCGTTTGGTGCGGTTCAGGCCATAAGTTACCACCTATACCAGTACTGCTACTAAGTCAAATTAAAAAAAATACTCATAAATGAATCTTGCAACTATTTGACAACGATTCCTAAAGTAAAACAGAGGGCGACCTGATAGCGCGTTCGTGTCTATATGCTAGTCTAGAAGTATCAGAAAATAGCTTTAAGACTACTTTCTTTACTTATATATAGGTACCATTTTATTAAAACAATCGTATTGTTTCCGGTAAAAACAAGGTGTTGCTTTGTCAGACAGAGAACCAGTTAAAAAACACCCTTGATATTCACATTCATATTGTGGCAGTAAGAACGAGTCCAAAAAGGCCATCGCCGGCCACTACCTGTTGCTACAGTTGCTTTTGATAGCTGGCGACGTCATCGATCATGCAGCAACTTCAGACGCCCACAATAAAGGCGAGCAATTCATGTCACATAGTTAACCTGTCCTTATAAGGGCAGACATATGCGTCGTATGTCACACAAACGTAAAATTGTATTAGCGATCGCTATTGCAAACCGCGACAGAATAAACATGGCTTAAAATCTCGATTAATTTCAGTATTCGTTGTATGACAAGTCTCATTCGACTCACGATGACCTAACAGAAACTGTCACCATGTGCAACAATATTAGACTACTCTCGTGATGAGATGCTACTATAAACAGCAATTAATATAACCATGTATGTTTATACATCTAATGTTAAATAGATATTTGTAAATGTACAATGCCGTCACCCGCGTGACTTCTGGCTATTGGCAGCTTTTAGCCGTCTGCGTTTGCCAGTCGCAGTTACATTAAACTTAGCTGAATCAGCTAAAATCAGCTAAATTTCTTCTTCGGGAACTTATCGCAAGCACACAGTCGTCAAAAGCATCCAGAAACGTTGAATTGCTTGTCAACTGTGTGGTGCCGACGAAGTTTTTGCTGGACATCGAAACAACGACATATTACTTACTACGGTATAGCCAAAGCTGGCGGCAGCCCCTGAAGCATATAGAACGAGTGCAGTGGCACTGTTCGGTAACTGCTGCCTTGGCTGATAAAATAGATGACGCCAAATGCAGAACTATGACTTCTTCTCAGTAGCTGAAATGAGCAGATTATTAGTGAGTGAAATAGCAGATTTGCACGATCTCCGTCACAGCCCTGCGTATTCATCTTCCGCCTTTTCAATTTATGTTACTATAACTCTACCAGCCAGAACGTAGCATTGGAAGAGACCAGCGACTCGTAAAACGCAGATTGAGCCATGTGACGCAGCTGTTGACCACAAAGTATGATGCGCTGAGGCGAATTTTAACGGAATATATACGCAATATTCGTACATCTACTTACATGCTTTTACTGAACTGGTATTCCGGTCTACGCAGCCATAACACGGTTATGTTATAATATACTGTTTAAATTATTACATATGCCACTAAAAATACTATATAAATTACCTTCATAACAAACTTTTTCTTTGATTATTGAGTCCATTTTTTTTTAAAAAACATTGCACTTTCTGATTCCCAATAGCATTTAGTTAACCATTTCATTATATTTCCATTAACCTACCTGAGACGTTGCTGTGAATTAGCAGCCGTCCACGTGAATACCGCTTATTTTATCAATTAACGGTCAACAACACCATGGTTTAACATGCCTTTCCATTGAACACACAGACTCTCTTTACCTCATTGTCAGCCCAGCTAATTTAATATTAAGGAAACTGCTCAGACATTTGCAGAGCTGCTCCAAGTCAAATGGGCTTCCCTTTGAACGCCCAGAAAGCGCCGTCTATTGTGAAAGATTCCATGAACAAACGTAATTCAGCTTCAAGTGGTAGCAACAAGGAACAGTGGAAAGCACGCCCGTCAGACCAGAAAGCGCGCGGAAGCCAGAAACAACTCACAAAACCAAAGACATACCCACAAGTCAAGGTCACATTTACGCTTAGTTCGGCGCATCTCGTTCTTCTTTGTTCGGTGTCATCGTTGAAGCTCCTCGAAGTGCCTTCTAATGACAGTACCCCCATGTGATTACACGACTATTCATTGAAGCACTCACTTCGCTGCAATCAATCGCTTCCCATGTGCTAAGTGTCAGTGATGAATAAAAATATTAAATATATAAAAAAATTAGATTTTAAAAAGCGCTTCCAGTCACTCTCATGTTACCGTTGTTCGTAGATAACATACTAGTGAAAGTAAAGTTGCTATAATAATGATTCAAATTATAATCATACTGATTAATACTAAACACGGGCCATCGACTAATACCTTCACCAGTGTTTTCACAAACTTTTTGCACAAACGCACAAACGTCTGGGTCTATATAGCTTACCGAAACAGCGCCGTTCCTTGAACGAGCGCTCTGGCATCGTCTCATTACATCCGCTGTCCATTTCTGCGCTGTTATTCTGTAGTACTATTTTGCAAAAAATATCACACAATTCCTTAGAAACTTGCTGAAGGTCAGTAGTTAGATTAACTCCTCGTCCAGCGAGAGAATGTTGCACACCGCAACTGTCTCAAAATGTTAATACACCTTGTTAAATTTCGCAGTCTCTGCATAGGTTGATCATCACAGCACGTTCAGATTATCTTGCACACACGGAACACGGGTGAGCAAAAATCCGCACGTTCTTCTAAAAGAAAAGCACGTAGATGTATGAAGCAGACTTCAACACTTGATTCACATGCGCGTTCATGCACTTTTGTTCCAAATCAGCGCAAACAGCAAAAAGCCGTAAGCACTAAAGAATTTCAACGCTATACGTCACTTGTTACAGAATCCGCCTCAATAGTAAATCAATCGTTATTCACGCGCCAGTTTTACGTTAACCCCGCCAAGTTTCAGGAAACGTCGTATGTATGTCTACCTGCTCGAGGTGTTCTTATCGTTATCACGGTCTTGCTACTGCAGTCGCTGCAAACGCGATGGCCACCACGAATCTTCGATGACACTGCAAAGCACATCCAGCTGCTACAAACAGCCCCACGTCGTCGTGATCTATATAGCGCTAATAATACGTGCTAATGCTGCAGTTCTTGGTGCTCTTGGATCGTTACGTGCGTAGTAACTGGCAGCTCTCGCTGTTCTTTGACGGCTGCTCTCCTCTTACCGCTGATACGCTGTTGTCGTTGTATTTAGTCTCGCAACCAGCCGCTGCTCCTTCTCGTAAGAGACAAACGGACAGTTAAATAGGCGTGTAGCCAGTTCGTCGCCGCTGCTGCCGTCACTGCAGTACAGTCGGTGGCTGTCGTGGTCTTGGGGTATAGTAGGTGGACAGCACACGCAAGTACATGAAGCACGCACGAAAGGTCAACCGCTCACAGGATATCCGTCAGGAGCAGGTCTCGTTATCGACACTGAATCTGCTATACACGACGTTATCACTGGTCTCTTTGTCGCCTAAGCAGGAAAACAACGGTCTTTCTTCCTCCACGTTTCTGTTCTTCTTGCCAATTGCGCGTTTGTATTGTACCACACGCTTCTAGGGTTAACAGTGTGTAGCTCACTCAGATCGCTATTACTGCGGGTACCTGTCCTGGTGCACGTCTGCTGATGATGGACCCTAACAAGTCTAGCTAGGTCAAGACAGCGCCAAAACTGGCTGCAATATGAACGAAGGAATGGAAAGGTGAAGACGTCATCAACCAGACGATGATGATGATCAAAACAAATGCACTCGACTAAAATCAAACTTGCATTGACTGTTTGTTAAAGGGCACGAAGCTGTGTTCAGCATTAAGCGTCCGCACCGCCAGGAATTCTGTTGCCTTGGCGCCAAATTTTAGGAGAGGCCTTCTATCGAGAGCTTACGATGTCATCGGAAACCCGTTGGTCCTTTTTTATCGTTAACGTACCAGTCAAGTGAGCTTAGTAGGTGATTTAGTAGGTTAGTAATTAAATTAGAACTCATCTCATGATACCGATTTGATGATCAGCAGCCGACTCAAGCCATGTGTGGTACCAATTCGTCTGCAACAGCTAACATTCGCAGAACTGCCGCTACTCCGAACACACCCATGCTTCAATGTGTACAGACCATTCTGCTAGAGACCCCGTAGACCAACACATTCGTCGCATGGCGCCAGTCGATGTGCGAATCGTCTGCTTAATCGTCAATTAATCGCCATGATTGTTCGATGCAACTCGATCTAGTGGCGCTCAGTGAGAGAGGCGAAGGTGGAGGTGAAGCAGCTAATAGTTTCCGATCAATCTTCCGATCGTCGCCTGTTTCTTTCTCTAGCTCCTATCTTCTTCAACGACAGACTGCAGCAGCGACAAACTACGACGATGACGACGACAGTGAAGATCAATATCAACACGCTGCCGCCCCTACGCCTACCTATCTGTTTCCGGTGGTCGAAGTAGCAGCTGTAATGCGTAGCCGCACAATGCGATCGGATGTTGTCTATGAGCCAGTAGACTGTTCTGCTCTATTGCAGTGGCGCGTACCGCTCGATGTTGAGCGCAGTGCTTTTTGTTGCCGCCTGTGCTAGCAGTGGGTGTAAAAATAAAAGTTATAAGAAGTAAAAGACACGACAGTGCTTTTGGAGAACAAAAAAAAATACAAAGTAGCAGCTGCTGAAAGGACAGCGGCACGAAGCCGCTTCCGATGGCGGCTCAAAGATCTCATAGGTGCGTGTAGATGTTACTCTAAAGAGCTAGTTAAAATAGTGAAAAATGCCCAAGCAGGCAATTGCCATTTGGATGAGCTGTTTACCGGGGTGAACTGTCGTGAAACTTGTGAACAAAAAGGGCTGCTGGCTGAGTGTCATGGCTGAGTGATACGTCATTTCATTATGTAGAAGGACTCCATGGTGGCTCTATGCTGCTACGGTTACTGTGGAACGCTCGAATGGCGACCGTAGACGGTGGGGTTATTAGGGGGAGGGTACGACGTAACGGCGTGTGAGTCACGCAACGTATCCTGGCAGCTAGTACAAAGCGGAACACATGGATGTAGTTTGTATAATAATTTTATTATGCTTATGGCATTCTTCTATTGTCCCTAAAATTATTATGTCAAATCACAGAAGCGTTGTAAAACAGTAGTAGCTATAACTGATGTCTTCAAACTCGATCTTGCTTTTGACAGTGCACACATCGAGCAACTTTACGGCAGTATTTATTATTTGTAAAGGTAGTGAAGACAGTGAGATTTATTATATGTTTAAGGAAAATGTAGACCGGTCAAGTATTACTCTCACGAACTATAAGGGCTTCTGTTGAGTTAGTCGAAATATACAGTGGCCCAATGGGTGTATTGGACATTGAGAAACTATTGAAGCCGAGGTTGTTTTCGTATCATTTTATCGTTTTAGTATGTTATAATATTAATACATAACAACTTCAACGAATCTCTATGTTGCGTCTCGAATGTCGTAAAAATACTCGTATATAATTCCCCAAAATTGTTCTTTTCAAATGTATTTTAACAATATATAATACTCTGTAGTACGCAGAACAATGTCGCTTTGCATTAGGATTGACGTAACGCATTCATCGAAAGGAAAAAATATTTTACAATTAAACTTCCATGAAATCGCATCGGTTCTTGTTTTAGTTGTTTTCATGCACTTCTGTTTTCATTGATATGCATGAGCATTCATATATTTCATAACAGTAAACTATAATTATTGGCTTGGTATAATATAACTCCGAAGCTGTGGTTTCGCTTGTCGTGCTCAGTAGTAATATATATATATATATATATATATATATATATATATATATATATATAACATAAGAGTTAACCAAATTTAAAGCTGATAGCCATGAATACTGATGCACGAGACTTCCACTAGTCAATATCCGTCGTCAAAAAGAGCTGGTACGAAATGATTAATTTTAATATTATACAATCACCAGTGATTTATAGAATCGAATGCCATCACTTGAGCATCAGCGCCGTTCGTTGATATGGAAAGTGAACATTATTTTTGGAATGTTTCACGGAAGCAACGTATATTGTATAGAGTTTAACATGCGTCATTGTTATTAGTCGAGAGTGACACTATTCCGATTTCGCGGACCCGCGCAGTTTCACCAGCAGCTTATACCAGCCCATGTTTAATAGGTGTGAATTTAGGGGCTGCGCAATACGTTTAGTATGACACGATATTTTCTGCATAGTTTGTTTGGAAATTAAATAAATATGCGAAATTATGCATCTGATATTATCTTAGTTGCTGGTTCAGGCAATTGGCATCCTCTGGAGCGAAGTGTGGCTTCGCCGGGTTTCACACCTAGATTATCTCGCCTGTATTTGAATTGAATAGACAAAAATGTTATCAGTGCAGTATAATTGTCGAAAGAGTAACAATCAATCGTTTACTAGAAATATTTCGAAATTTGTTCGATCTTCTCAGTACCATGTTATCATGTGTGCGGTTTCAAGCCGAAAAGTCTGCAAGCTTCTGCTGGGACCACTGTGACACAGTATATTCTCAGATTTGTCCACATGGTGTACTGATTAAAGTATTTAGATTGAACCTCATGATTGGGAACAACCTTGCTACGTCTAAATTTTTCAAAAGCGTCACCAGTTCCAATTGTTTTAAGTATTTCCACGTATCGCAGCCTCAAGAAGGTTGTACTGGTGTTTTGGGAAAAGGTCTCGTTCAACAAAACAGAATTGTTTACCAATGGCTTGGTTTTAGATTTACATCTTTAGGGCCGATGTTTCTAAGAAAGTATCGAACGGTCGATAGCTTTCGATGTTTGTTAAAAGTGCAAACACGAGCATAGCAATATTCGTTCAACAACACTCTGTGTCGTTCTGTCCACGTGTTATGTCGGAGCAATTATGCTGAGTGGTGCATTTCGACGGATGCGGTAATTCTAAAGTGAGGCTTACTCAAGCCAAATGTGTTTTGTTTAAAAGTAATGTATTTCTTTGTTAGCCACGCAATTAATTCATCGTTGTCGATCATTGCCGAAACAGTAAATGGTGTTGAAAGTTCAGCGAGCGAAGCATTTCATAATCCAATAAGATTGACATTTATAATAGTTATACATAGAAACGTAGTTGATTTACCGGAGTTTCGAGAACTAGCAATTACCCACGGTCTTGAAAAAGAGATCGAAATACACTTAGAAGAGAAAAGGGAGAAGAGAGAAATGATTTTTTATGTATTTTGGTCAATTCTTCAGTGCAAAATTGCTGAAAATAGCGCAAACGTTTTTCATCAGTACGTGCAATTTCACCTTCACTTTTTTATTTCGCTGAACCGGACAAAGGGGCAGTTTTGAAGTCCAGACAGCGAACGTTAAAACTGAACAGTTGGTTTCAAGGGGTTCTACAAGTTTTTGCATCCCTATTTTATCTGCGTTGATTATTGCAGTTGTCGGGTGGAGCTGCGGCGAGGAAGCGGAGGACAGGGTAATATCCGACGAGAACTTTCCCGGATATCAAATGGATCACACAATAGCGTAAGTGGAAAGGAACTTTGTTCCCAACGTTTTAATCCTTTTTAGACACAGCTTCTATTTATCTAAAATAAGGTACAGTTGTTCGTGCATCTATTGAATTTACAGCGAAAATCTCTCACTGTAGTTTACTCGTTATCGGATTGCTAGACAAGCTACCTGATAATTGATATGCGAGAAAAGGCATTTTAGTTGATATACGGTCTATTTGCAATCAGTAAAATAACAATAATAATAATCATATTGTGTTTGCTTCTATGATTTTCTTAATGCAGATCGCACTTTCCGATGTTGTGGAGCCCCTTGAATTTGAGGATTACCTCTTGCAGATGGGTGATGCCATCGATCGGGATACTCTGCGGGATGTGGTCCTCTTCCCAAGCGACGACATTGAAGTTGGGGTCGTATCGCGAAAGACGCGTACAATTGGCCCGATTGTTCCCGACGAAAAAGAGTGAGTTGTATTCTATTTTCTTCTCCTCTAACAAGTATAAATTGCTTACAGTTTGCATAGACTTCTCATATCATAGATATATGATTTCGAAAGGCAAAAATGATGAACGATTGTTTGTATTGCCGATATTCTCCGGCCGTCGAAAGTAGGCATTTGGGCCACTGCAAGCCAATATGCGTAACATGGGAGGCGTTGCACATTGTACTACATTGACGTTTGTCGGGGAATGACGTTTCTAAACAATCCAGGACTGTTGCACTTTAAAGAGGAATTAAATTAACTCACTCTGTTCATAGATCAAAATTATTTTTATTATTGTTATTGTTTACCACTATTATTACTATATATAATAGTTTATTTCAGCACAGCGAGCGAAAGTATATCAACACTTGAGGGTAGGTAGAAATATTGTAATTAATTGTTCATATGGCAAGCAAGAAGGGTACGTACAAACTGAATACAAGGCACATTGTTACCTCGTGTCGTTGAGCGTATACTTGATAACTGATATTGTATAATATACCGTAGCTCCGAGCTGGAACCTTGGGTTCGATGCTGTGTCGAGTCGTTTACAAACAACTGGCTCGTGATAAACCGTAGATACCAGCACTTTAGCTCGGCACTTGGAGTACGCGATCGAACACTGGAACGGAGTCTGTTGGTCAGGAGCACCCCGAGGCAGGAATTCGAGATTGATATGGACTGCACCACAGGGTGTAGCAATCAAGATAATGCCAGCGTTATAACCGAAGAAGGTGACACAGCCTCGGAGACGAACGTCGCGAACGACGTGGACGATGCATCCAGTATTGCAGTTAGTATTATCGCACAAATGGTGCCTAGTTGTACAGGACAAAAGGTGATGTTGGGTTAGTGCTCGCTAAAGTAACTTTTCGTATTCAGCTCCTTGTTGCGTATCGAAACGAAACTGCATTTCGGCTGTAGCATTCCTGTGAATCTTCGGCAAGCTCAAGATAAAAGCCTGTAGAGTCTTCGAAAGCCTTTATATTATGTAATGTAAATATAGTAATTCTTAGTATAGTATCTTTTCACTGGTTATATGTTTCTTTCTGATTAGGACTCAGTGTGCTCACGCGACACTCCTCGAGGTAGCTGGGCTTCGTCTGTGCCCGACCTCCGCAGTTCAGCGTCAGATCCGTTGCTCGAAGGTCTTGTGGCAGGTGATCCACCTTCGGTTTCTTGTCAAGCTGGAGGACCCCCCAATTTGCTGGCGCTATATTCACCTCCTGTAGATGACGAGGCCGTTGATTCTCGTTCTGCCGCGGGGATCCCCACGGAAGTGATGCCCCATCGACTCCTTGTTAAGTGCCTGCATTTTAAGTGAGTTTGGTTTGGCATTTTTTTAACTGTGTTGACTGTCAATCTGAAAAATGCACTTAGCCGAAACTTTATTGAACTATGCCATTGTCACACTAGGCAGTTTCTGCTTTTGAATATATAGGCTTACATGTGATTATGTGTGAATATTTTCAGGGTTGAACCGGACTTCGAACCTTTATTCCTCTCTATGGCTCTTTATGATTCCAAAGAAAAACGCAAAATCTCAGAAAATTTTTACCTTGATCTTAATTCCGATCTCATGAAACGAATGCTACAAAACCATGTTCCCTACGCCGATATGTCCACTCTTGCTAGATCGTGCATTTTCAACGTGAGCAGCAATTCTGCGCAGGACATTTTCCTTATTATTAGGGTATGTATTACAACAAATAGCCTGCGACTACCATTGTACGAGTGCAAATAGACTAGCAAAATGTTAGTATAAGGAGGCAATTGTTTACTGTGACATAGCACCTGAAAATATCCAACAATCAAAGCGGAGTAGCTGTATCTGTTTTTTAGTGTCGAAATTTTAATCACTTTAAAAATTATGATGACGATTATTATCATTATATTAAAACGAAAATAAAATGAACAACCGTTTTTCATGCAGGTGGAAAAAGTGCTTCAAGGAGACATCGGAGATAGCGCCGACCCTTATCTTAAAGAGGATCGTAAGGCTAAAGATTCGCTTCGTGTACAAGCCCAAGTTGTGTGCGAACGACTTGGCCGATATCGTCAGCCTCTAGGGTGGACAGCTATCTATCTGCAAAACGTGGTTCAGGGCACAACAAGCTTAGAAAAAGATGCCTCGTTAGTAACGGCCAGCGGATCGACAATTGGACGTCGCAGTTCTCTGGAACGAGGAACCAAGTTGGACTCATTCCGGAAGATCAAAGAGGTTCAGGCCAGTGATCCTATATTGATTGAGGGCGCTAACCGTACCCTGGATAACTTCCGGACATTGACGGTTGTGGTTAACCATCTTTTTAGACAAGAAATGGATAAGGTTAAGGATGAAGACCTTTACAAGTTCTTGCAGGAATTCAAGAGACCTACAGGCTCAGGTAAGCATCGAGTTGGGAGTTGTCTTTCGATAAGCGCAGGCCACCATTCCAGCAGAGCAAGATTAGTAATATTTGTAAAATACGTTGTCCTTTGATGATGTAGTGCCTATAAAATTTAGCGACACGTGGTGGTCTAGATTTGTTGTGTGGTGGATGCCAGCCATCTGAAGTAACGCTTAACAGTGGCAACAGACGTGAAGCTCAAAGTATTTTTATGGGTGTAGAATATCTTTGAGATACGTTATCTCCACTGAAAGAATTTATTCTAAAATAAATTCTAAGTGAAAGCTGCCTTGATTCTCTACAGTACGCAGTAATCTATCAAAGTTATGGAAATTTTTGGTTTATTAATTTTACTTTCCGCGTTCCATATTGCAGCAACATTAAGCAAACGTCTAAAGAATATTCCTGTGACATTACGGCTAGAAATTTCACCATGTCCGGCCGAAGTGCAGAATGCACTTACACCCGAGCTGGTGCCTGTTATCCCACAGAATCCCGAAGAGCGGCCAGTAAAAGAGATCCTAGAATTTCCACCAAAGCCCATAATGCATTCACATGTTAGCTACCGTAATCTCTTGTACGTGTATCCGCGCAGTGTGAATTTCACTAACCGATTAGGCGTATCTGCACGAAACATCGCCTGCCGCGTGCAGATGATGTGCGGTGAGGATGAGATCTGCAATGCTCTACCGTTAATCTTCGGCAAATCTTCGTGTCCCCAGATGTCTACCGAGGCTCTAACCTGTGTTACATACCACAACAAGGTTTGTGGATCACGGTTTACTTTGTAGCGAAATTTAGCTGTAGTCTATTCTAGGAAACGAATCATGTAAGCAGTGTGTACTAGCGTATATATACAGTGTGTCAAGTAAGCGAAATACTGCTTTTGAAAACACACTTTAGCAGATGATGAACTAGAAGTTTTGTTCGAAGCTGAAGGACCTTTAAGACTTAAAAGAAAACGAAAACGGATGACAACTATCTCAGTGAATTCCTTGACGCTATCTCATGTTGTGCTGTACTCATTCACAGGTACCTGACTTCAACGACGAGATTAAGATGAAGCTTCCAGCAAGATTAACTGACCGTCATCATTTACTATTTACATTTTACCACATCTCGTGTCAACAACGAAAAGATGGCACGTTGGGCGCCGGCGGTGGGGGTGGTGGAGGCCCAACAAGCCTGGGGCCTACAGAAACTCCTATAGGCTATTCGTGGCTGCCACTTTGCCCAGCCGACTCGTCGACAAGTCCATTTGGAGATCACTCGCTTCCAATCATGATTGAAAAGCCGCCACCTTCATACTCTTTTCTACATGCGAATGTAGCTATACCGAACACCAAATGGTTGGACAACCATAAACCTTTATTTGACGTTTCGATACGAAGTGTATCAACGGTCTTTCCGCAGGTAGGTTGGCTACTCGTGCGAACTTTTTTAATATCTCTGATCTAAATAGTATATAAAGGTATACTATTTTTATCTACACACATTATGTGGTACGTACATTTAGAAACTCTATAGCGATCACGACGCATTTGATAAAATTCATATTTTCTAGAAAGTAACTATTATTTTGCATTTTATTTGGTAATAATGTTTCCTGTCACTTCGCCTAGGCAATCCAAATACAATATGATATAATCTGTTTAGTTCTTACATTCAACCTATTATACGCATATGCTGCATATGACTACATCGTTGTGCACTAACAGTTTCATTCTCAGATCGATTTCATTTTTCAGGATTCGCACTTAGAGCATTTCGTACAATTGTGCAACCATCTTGAGTCTGGTACGTTGGTTGCATCCCGCCTAATTTCTGGTGCGGATACCTGCGAGCGTGAAGTACGCAACCTCATTCTCGAAGTGGCCAAGGCAAGCGCTGAAAGCCTCATTAATTTCTTGCCCATTGTCTTGGACCATCTCATAAAGCTGTTGGTCACTCCGCCATCGGTGTTTGGCCATACCATCGATGCGTCGGGCACAGTTTTCGAAGCCCTTTGTTCTGTCGTATCAACCATAGCGGTAAGTTATTAGACTATACGTTAATCTCTTAAAGGTTCTGCGCATGATATACAACAGCAGAGCAATTATATTTTTTATGCCTGTTTAAAAAAAACATCACTAAGGTTTAAGTTTTTTAATAAAGATAAAAAAAGGATCTAATACACCCCTATTATGTATCCCGAATCACTCGCTTTGAGAACCGTAGCAAGCCTTGGACGAGGAGAATGACCAGCACCGGCGATCTCCCCAGCTGGCCTCCTATATACAGTATCAGTGCACTCTACCTCATCCACCAGCCGAAGTTAAGACGGCCGGCACCCGCCCTACGTCTTCTTCAGGCTCCGCCATGGATCTCGAGAACGACGAGGAAATCTGCGGAATCCTTGAAAGGACCCGGCTAGCATCACCAACTCATACAACGTCAAACATATTTGTGCAGCCACCTCAGCTACCGTTTGGAACCAAAATTGATTGTGGGTTCGATCAGCGTTCCCGTAAACTTGTCCATGAAGAAATCATCAAGTACTGGATTAACAACCGATCCTCAACTGAGAACCCGCTCATGAATCAAAACTATCCGACGACATGGTTCTTTTTTGAATTGATCATTAAGTCGATGCAACAGCATTTGGCGACGACAGGTAAACTTCAGGCACCCCGAAAACAACGTTTTAGCGAGCGGTTTCAGGAAGAGATTACGGCACTGGTCAGTTCGTTGACGGATGAGATTATCGCCAAAGCGAATCCTGACGGCGCTGCCCTATACCTGAACGCCCATCTCGCGTTCTTTGTCCACGATCTACTCAGCATCATGGATCGAGGCTTTGTATTCCAACTAATTAAGCTCTACTTTAAGTATTTCTGGTCGAAGATATACATTCAGGCGGACATGGTAAACCACCAGCTATTTTCGCTTCGTCTAGATTTTCTTCGAATCGTCTGTTCACACGAGCACTACATTCCACTAAATCTCCCCTTGACGCCCCAGGCTGTCTTGTCACCCCCTGTGTCACCGTCACCATCAGTCAACAGCAGTTCGTCGCAGAGTAGTATTGCTCAACCTACGGAGCTTTCGCACGAGTTCCGGCAGACTCATTTCCTTGCTGGGCTCGTGCTCTCTCAACTAACAACAGCCCTAGCAACGGAAAATGCCCCATTGCGTTATAAGGCCGCTTGTCTTGTGCTCAATCTATTGTCGTGGCATGACTGGGATCCACGCTACGCCGAGCCGGAAAAACGAGCTCGGATTGTCACGTTGTATCTACCTTTGCTGAGTATTGTCGTCGACAACGCTGCTATGTTGTTCGATTTCAGCGCGTCGCTGGAGCACCCAAATCAGCCTTCAAGGAGCACGCTCGAGGTGATCGCAGGTTCGAGAGTGACCAAGGTTCGAGATGACCATCTGCGCGAGGACACCTCGCGGCACCTGTTGTTATGCTTCTTGTGGCTGCTCCGCAACGCCGATAGGCGAACTCTCAAACATTCGCTGGCAGAATGGCGGCCCATTAAGTTACAGCGATTTGTTGCCATTCTGCGCAAGTGCGCCTCGTGCTTCCAGTACAAAGGAAGACAGAGTATTTATGGGAAGGTGACTCGAGGGCACATTATCCGCAGGTCATCTGATCTGAACCGTCTGAATCGGCTAGAGGAAGCCATCCTCGGTCAGGGATCGGCGCGCAGCGAGTTAATTCGACGAAAACTTCAATTGACTTCGCATGGCTCGTCGCAGCCGGGCACAGCCGGGATCTCCGCCTCTGCTGGGCAACCGACTTCAGCTCAACCCGAACAGCTACGGTGGGTTCATTCAATCTATACTTATTCTCGCGGAATTCATGTCCCAAAAACAATCGCGCAGTGAATAACAATTCAAAAGGAGAACTCTTTTAACTGAATGTAAATGAACACCTATTTTTTACACCATTTACATCACATCTAAAAAAGGGAAAAAATTAAGAACGATTCTGATGTTACCTCCGTGCTTTAGCAGAGCTACAAGAAACTACTAATGAATAATAATAATATAACGGAAACAATAGTTAGGACAGCTTGAAAAGCCGTTCAAAAAGCCTATGCATGTTTACATGAAATTCTGATAATCGTTATTGAACAATCCAGACCTGTTTTTTTTTATAGATGGCGTAAAGATATTGTGCGATATTCATCAGCGGATTCGAGCGATGCGGGTTCACGGCAAGAGCTGGATGAGCAAATCCACCTCGAGGGCAACTTGGCTTCAGAGGCGACTGCTGTGATTATCGATTCGCTCGACGTCGTTGTTCAGGTAGCTCTTCAGCTCGATTCACTTCAGAACCTTCTTTCTTCTTGCCACAAGTTAGTGCTGCATATTCTGGCGTGCAACCAATCAGCGGCCGTGTTGCAGAAAGGTTTGTGTAATATTGACAAGGTTAATAGATAAGAATCTTTACATTCGGTGTTTACTTGCCGTTAAGCATTGACACGAAACAAAATGTGTCTACGGCCAAGTTAAAGTCTAGACTGGCATGTATTTCGAAGTTTAGTAGGCGGATACGTTACCACTGAATTATCACGAGACCTCTTAATAGATACACTTCAAACTGTTTTTTTTTTGTTAATTATCAAAGCCCATACGGCTAAGGAAAATCCACTTTAGAATGCATCCGAGATCTGATGCATCGTATTCCTTGCAGTTTTCGCAGTACAACGCTCTCTAGCGACACGATTTCCCGAACTCTTATTCGATGAGGAGAGTTCGGAGCATTGCTCGGAGTTGTGTCTTCTCCTGCTTCGGCACTGTTCTTCAAGGATGTCGGCGATTCGATCGCAGGCGGCGGCTTCACTCTATCTCCTTATGCGGCAAAACTTCGAAATAGGCAACAACTTTGCTCGCGTCAAGATGCAAGTTACCATGAGTCTCAGTTCGCTTGTGGGTCGCAGGACTTCATTTAGTGACGGCTGCCTTCGAATTTCGCTCAGAACGGTACAACTGTACGCGGAAGGAGACGCCGATCTTCATGGGACAGCCTTCCCTGCTCAAGTACGTTAATGTCACCTGAACCTCACTTGAAATAGATGTTTTTACTCTGTTTGTATAACACGATAGGTTAAAGCTATGAATATTCAATTACGAATAGTTCACCTCGTGATAATACGGTTTATTGTTTTAGGTTAGCGACCTGGTTACCAATCTCCACACGATCTTATCCGACACCGTCAAGATGAAGGAATGCGAATCCGACCCGGATATGCTTATGGATCTCATGTATCGCATTGCAAAAGGTAGGTTTGAAAAACGGTAACCCCAGTAAACTACCTAACCAGAGTAATTGTTTGAATTATTAACTATGAACAATTAATTCATTTTGTCCGGATGTATGTCATAGCTGTCAACCTACTCACTAACACGCATATTTAATATAAGCATGACTAATGTGTTGTGTGTGCAGACTGAATAAACGAACAATACTTTTGGAACGAGCTTAAATGTGTACTTTTTGCGCTGTACTGTAACAGGCTACCAGGATTCGCCAGATCTTCGTCTAACATGGCTTGCCAACATGTCTGGGAAGCACCTCGAACGAAACAATCACTCGGAAGCGGCTCATTGCCACCTGCACGCCGCTGCTCTTGTTGCCGAATATCTCCATATTATCGAACACAAAAAGTATCTCCCCGTTGGGTGTGCAGCATTCGAGGTACAGAATTAATTCAATCGTACGAGTATTGGTTATGCTCGCGTAGAAAAGAAAGAAACGTCGACAACCCTAAATAAACCCTAAAAAAAACGCTAAATAGTTCCTGCGCCTAGCAGTTGATCATTCGAAAACAACCTGTTTAGCATTTTCTCTAAAACAGGCTTTTTACACTTAAATGCTGATGTAATAATACAAACCAAAACCACTAGAAGAAAAGCTAAATTATTCACCTTGCGGTTCATTTTTGTTTATAAATTATTGCAGAAGATCTGCTGGAACGTTCTAGAGGAGAGCGCAACGTCTGATGACGTTATTTCACCCGACGAAGACATTCGAAGTGCGCATTTTACGGAGCATGGACTTGTGGCTCTTTTAGAGCTTGCCGCACAATGTTTCTGGGAGGCTCAAGAATTTGAATCAGTCAACCACATTTACAAAATCGCCATTCCGATCCTTGAGGCTCATCGTGACTACAAGAAATTGGAAGAGGTTCATAAGAAATTGTGTCAGGGCTTTCAGCTTATGAGCAGTATGGGAGACAAACGACATTTTGGCACGTACTTCCGCGTCGGTTTTTACGGCAGTAAATTAAATGACATGAATGGAGTCGAGTTTGTGTATAAGGAACGGAGCCTCACAAAGCTACCGGAGATCTCATCACGTCTGGAAACGTTGTACGCTAATCGTTTTGGCGAGGAATTCGTTGAGATTATCAAGGACTCAAACGCCGTCGATGAAGAACGCCTGAATCCTGAAAAGGTTTATATACAGATCACATACGTAGAGCCGTACTTCGAACTGTATGAACTCAAAGATCGCACCACGGTTTACGAGAAGAATAACAAAATCATGAGATTCATGTACGCCACCCCATTTACACAGAGCGGCCGAGCGCACGGCGACCTCTGGGAGCAGCACAAACGAAAGACAATACTTACCACGACGCACGCATTTCCGTACATCAAAACTCGCGTTCAGGTAATCGATCGGCAGCAAATTGTTCTCACTCCGATCGAGGTAGCCATTGAGGACATTGAACGTAAGAATAGGGAGCTGGAAAATGCCGTCAACCAGGAACCGCCCGACGTGAAGATCTTGCAGATGGTCCTACAAGGCAGTATCGGCGCTCAGGTGAATCAGGGCCCACTCGAGGTGGCCAACGTATTCCTGGTAGAACTGGTTGACAATCGCACAACCGCTACCTATCATCAAAGCAGGCTTAGATTGTGCTTTAAAGAATTTATCAAGAGAATTGGTGATTGCCTTAAGAAAAATCGCCAACTCATTTCAGCTGAACAAAAAGACTATCAAAAGGAAATGGAGAAGAACTATCAAGTATTCAATGAGAAGCTGAAACCAATGATTCAGAGTCATGCACGCTAAGAACACAGTTTTCATACGGTGCCCCCGATGAAGGAAAGGGCAAAAAAGGAAGGAGGGAAGACGCAACTAATTTCGAGTAAAACAATTCTTCTGTACATATTCACCTTGTTTTAAAATAGTTGTGGACAACATGTATAATTTTCACCATGCGCATTATTACTACAACTAATACAGGAGCTGTTATTTAAAAGGATAAGTCAAATTGTAGATGGATTACACGTAACTCATAACTGATGAGAAGAAAACGTGTTTTGACTATTATCCTGCATGATCCAAAATTACATCAAAGATTATATTAATGTTTTCAATATTTTTTGTAGTCTGAATTGAACGTTGTTTTCTAGTGACGTCAACTTTGGGTTCAACATTTCTTCTACAGAACCTCACAAACTCGCTCTAGTGTTACAATCAGGTTTTTGCGTATACCATTTTTAAGCTTTATCTAAAACGGTTCTATAATGAAGATTGTAGATTTATCAATTAAGTGGGCAAAAGTATTGTTATTATTTTCGCCATTTTTCCATTCATATGTCTATATTGTTTTCAGCCAGTAAATTGACCCTTACCCCGGTAAGCTACCGGCTCAAATAGAAGTTGGGCTGGAAAAAATATGCTCACATAAGAAGATGTGATTTTGTAAGGGTTAAGTGGTATTTTGCAACGCTACTAGTTGTCAGATTATTTATAATATTGTGTGATTTACCAGAAACAACAGATGGGGTCGATGGATATCCCACTGTTCTTCAATTGTATTTAACCTAATAAGTGTTTAATGATAAATAAGGTTTCTCGATTGCATACAGATGGGATTGAATAAGTAATACAGCATTTAATGGGGGCATATACACGGTTTCATATACGGACGTGAAGGATAGAGCTTAATGGGTACCTAATAGAGTTGGTTCAGCCGTCCGTAACTTCCGTTCAAAATTACATGCAGTGGCTATATATAATAGATAAACAGAAGTGTTATGTATTTGTGGGCGTATGCGGCTCCGTCCCATGCGAATTGTTTAACATTATAAGTAATACCGAAACCAATATCAATTCAAACCGAGGTATAGGTTTATTGGAGATTATGTTATGTATCCTTCTGATCTTGTTGTCTGATTGTTTTCTTGAATCGAAAAACTAAAAAGAAAACGAAGTTGTTCAGACTTTCAATGCAAGAATGTCATACTACATATAAGACACTCAATAATAAATAAAAATATCCGTTTACTCGCACACATGTTGTTCTATCTATTAGTCTTTTTAGCAGCAAATAGGATAAAAGAATTGTTTTTCATTATCTTTTGTTTTAATCTTTTAGTTAGAGAATGAAAACGTTTTGTAGTCGAATATGGTGGTGTTTGTAGATTCAGCTGATTAAACCAATCTACTTCCACTAAAATCTGTAGATTATATTTTTGAATATTCAAATACGTTATCCTAACTTTAGGCGTGTAATTTAAAGTGTTTGTTAATCAAAATGATTTTCTTCCGCCTGTCTTATGCAATCGCAATCATTACTTTCATATGTTTGTCCTTATCATCGAGAAACAACGAATAACGAAAGCGATGCGGCTTGATCGGTTTCAATATGAAGATAAAGCCTGACTTTTAGAGAAACTACAATTACACAGAAGAAAGGATGCTTTTGCATCGCAATAAATTTCGTAGTTTTTAAGCAGTACCCAACGGCTCCCAAAAACGATGAACCCAGAAGTAAAAAGATAGATCACGAACTTTATTGTGTAGAACACAGTTAGATACTAAAACGCATATTGCTAGAGAGTACCCAGACTACAACTGTGAATAACTGACGCAAGCTGGTTTCTTGTAAAATTGTTGTATGTAATTTTCGGATCCCTTAATGAAAAGCGTTGTTAGTCAGCGAATTACTTTACATCCGGTAATGGAATTAAATGATATCTGTGGTAAAAATACTAAAGAACTGAGATTTTTTTTAAATCTAAGAAGAGAAGGAACTAGCTTTCAAGTCATATAAAGTAAGTTACAAATAGCACTGCCTGGTTCCGTGTAACAACCACTCCCCTTTGTACAGCATCTGGGTCAAGCCTGATACAATACATTCTACAAATGTGTGCATCTACGAAGATACCCGTAGTAACGCATGTCTTTAATGAAAATTAAACACTGCAAAACATTACCGACAATATATTTTTTTGGTTTATTCTATACACAGAAATGAAACTCAGTAGAACACTGCGAGTACCGTAGTTGTGCTGGTAGTGAAACGTATACAGCCTCATCGAAATACAAATTGTAGGTAATTTTAAGAAATGAATACATGCAATGTGTCGTCTAAAATAGAGTTATCAGTTTTCAGCACTAAGGGTTCGTAGGTTTACACTTTTACGATCTTAGCTTGAGTTTAGACAATTGATGCACAAATGAACTAGTTGCTTCACAGCAACTTTCGACGCTGAAATGTTAGTTCTGTAAAGATTCTAACATTTTCAATTTACTTAAACTTCCACTGGTATAGCCTGGCAATTCTTTTGTGTGTACATGATAGTAATACCAAGCCCTTCATTGTTTCGTAATAACCAGCAGTATCCCAATGAAGAAAAACACAGGGCTTGCGCTTCATAAATAACATCCATCCGTACATTTTTGACGTTTCATACAAAGATTATATCGCTTATCTTATATATATCTTATATATAACGTAATAGACCTGTTATCAGTTTTGCATTTCGACCTGCGTTCATAAACACACATTCAATCTCGCTCGAAAATTGCAATCAAAGTCAAAATCTTATACTTTTTTTCAAAAGCGACGGGCATCATACACACATACATATGTATTTATGTGAGTCTTTTACATAAACATACAGGAAAAAAATATAGAAATCTTAGAAGTTAGGCGGAAGGATAAGAAGAAGTAGAACAAAAGATACGTAAAAACAAAGGCCTCCTGGCTTCCGTTTCGCGTTCGTTTCGTATCGACCACCTTCTTAATCGCTCTAAGTTCCTCACGAAGTAATTTCAATTGTTAATTGTTAAAGGTCAGTTGACCGTTGGTCTGGTGAATAACTAAGATTGTCATTAACATTATCATAAAATGATGGAACAATTAACATTCGATGCCAAAGAGCATAGGAGTTTTTTGGCATGTTGCCTCTCGTTAGGGAGCTCTTGGTTGGCAGAACTTTTCGCAACCAAGGAGTCTTACGACGAGGCAAAGGCAATACCCTCCTGGTCGGGTTCGTACGAAGTCTTGTGGACAAGGACTTCCGGAGGCTGTATAGGTCCAGTACGAGGATGCTGAGTTTGTCCCGCCAATGAGGCACCAAGTGTGCTTCCTAGCGCATTTTCGCCACGGAAAAGACCTGAAACACAGGCGGATAAGTAAGAGCTGTCCATTACATAATGGAATATTTAGGCTTAAAACACATCTTTGTTAATGACCAATAGGATTTTACGTTCGAGTTATTTCAGTCTGTTCATAAATAATATTAATAAATCAATATTTCCTTCGGCTTCAGATCTAGGTACGACAGTTCTTTTCTTGACAAAACGCCTACGGAGAAAACGATCAGTCAAACAAGGTAACTACACATATGTCTATATATACGTACCTATCGGTATATTAGCTGTATGTCGGTGCGCCTATAATGTTATAAAAATAGTGGCTTTGCCGTGGAAGATGAAAATATGAGATATGAAACTACTCTACAATATTTTTCTTCTATATTGTCTTCCAGTCCAGATTGGCTATTGAATTAAGTTTTTCTACAAACATATGTAGCAATGTCCTCTAGTTAGTCTTCTGTTATTTGGTGTAGCACAAGTAAGATAGACAGTAACAGAGAATAGCAGATTTGTCGTGTCAGCCACCTTGAGTTTTTTCACGATCTCCCACGTGCGCTCACTCTAGCACAATTTCAGTCTTAACATTTTCCTTTTGCCGTTCGCTACTGTTGGTGTGTATTGCCCTAAACCACATGCGCGCTCAATCCTACTTCACTCGAAAATGAGGGTACTCTAGTGCCCAGCTAAGCTCTGTGAGGCGTTACTAGAGAGGTACCTACAATGACCCACTGAATGAAAAAATCTGCACATTCACTGCTAAACTGAATGGGAGTAACCACAGAGTAACGATAAATGAACCTTACAGATGGCGTTTTCGTTGAGGGCGAAACTCAGGAAGCCTACTTTATCCCTATAGCTTCTTATATATATATATATATATATATATACATATATATATATGTCTTGATTCGGCGCACTATATGGAATCGGGAAGGAGGACCTCAGAGTTCTATTTTATATTGGGATGAGGAGATCGCTGGCTGACAAGGTGACGAAAAAGCTTCAAGCGAGATTTGTCAGTCCCGAGGTACGCTAATGTGTTTGCTGCACCTTCGTGGCTCCATGGAAGAACAGAAGCAGGACAAATAACAAAGCGAATTCGGCGAACAGGAGTCCAATCAATGTTGTCGAAAGTCCAAATTTTTTATGTGAGTCTTTTGTGTTTGTTTAAGATATACAATCGGCCGAATACGAAAAAAGTTCTAGGTTTTTAGGTATATTTATATTTGATGGGTATACCTATGTCATATTAGGTAAAACTAGATTACTTAACGTATGTATATGGATGTCATTGAAAGGCTTGACCTTTCGTGAACCAATCGTTTGAATATCGTGTTACACTAATGGATCTTTTTTTTTATTAACAGGGGTGATGTGAAATAAATAACTAAATTGCAGATTATAAACATGTATACCATGGAGACTACGCCAGTGGTTTTTGCTCTCGAGTATGTTCTATAAAAATTGACCTTACGTTTTCCATATTTAGCGCGCTGCAGGGATTTTCTTTTTAGAGCGAATACTTCAGCTGAGTACGTTTAACCCAAGAACATCTTAGATTTTTTCAAATGAATTCTAACCAGGAGATTGCTCTACCGTAGCCTAAGCAGTAATAAAGTGTATTATTATTTATTTAAAGTGACCCTTCATCGATGTGCGTTCTCGACCTGTATTATTAAAAAAAAAAAAGACACCATTTCGAGTTCGTCCCACTTTGAAGTTCTCGGTGTTTATCCATGTTTTGCGATTCGTAGGAAGTGATTCAAGTCATTATTGTTCAGAACAATACATCTACTTCAGTTTTATTACCGGTCTTTCTTTTCTAGTAGCCTCAGTTGTGACCTCCTCCCATTTAAAGCTGTCCTTTTTCTGAAAGAATTAACCGCATCTCAGCTGTTACTCTTATGAGACAGTATGATCGAGGCACTTGTGTGTGTAGATAAACAACTATGGTGTTCTCAACAAACAGAGCGATGAGACGGGATGCCATAACTGTCCAATTGAAGTGCTTTGACCATTTATAATGTCCTTTTAAGTCACAGTTGAGAAAAGGTAATTTAAAATTAATTTTTAGCAATACGATATACTGAGACCGATCAACTTAGTGTGCGCACGACAGTGTGGCTATATTAACAAGCTCGTCGGATCCAGAGCTAGGAGCTAAATAGCGATACCTCGAAAGAGTTCCAGTGGTAGAGGGAACACGATTGTGGAGTTCTTCTCAGCAGCGATTGAGGCCAGGGTCTGTAAGTAGCGCAGTTGGAGAGCGCCTTTCGATTCCGAGATGATGTCCGCTGCTTCCTTGAGAGAGCGTGCAGCTTGCTTTTCGCCGTCAGCACCGATCACCTAATTAGAATAACAACATGACAAGACAGAAATAAACGTCTTTTTTTTTGTAACGAATTATGCTGTATAATAGTGATGTTATTGCTATTGAATATGGTTTTAATCGTTGGAAAGGATATGTTCCAATTAACATTAAATGCAACGATTACTGAAAAGAAACTATTATGTTGGAGAAATTTTTTAATATCAATAAGTATTTCAATCCCTTTAGACAAGTTAACTTATTTTGGTTAGAATTTAACTAAGTGACAATGTGTTTCTTTTAACGAGTGACTTCTTGCCCACTGCTGAGTAGTAGTTATTCGGCCAAAGGTGTGAAATGAACATCCTAGTTTTAGGCTATCTGCACAAATGCTATTGGGTGGTAAAGTTCTATTTACATATTTATGTGGTAGACTATGTAGTATTTAAGGGAAACAATCGTAATAATCGGCGTTCAGCCAAAAAGGGAACGTCAAGAACTTGTTAGAAGATGCTATCGAAACTGTAACAGCGTGTCATTAATATTCAGTTCCACTGAAATTTATCATTTGACATTTACAAGTTATTGATGAACGTATAGTTTATTTGTTATGCATCGTCTGCGACATGTTGAAACTCGTTACAAAAACCGATATTGAAATAATCGATACACGCATTTAGCTGAAACAATACTATTCGGTAAAATGTTACAGGTATGCACATTTATGCATACTTATAATATAAAAAATATATGTATACTCAAATTTTGTTACAAGTTTATCTACTGCATAGGCTTGCCATAGAACGAAGCGTATCTGTTATCCCCGTGTTCATATATTTCGTTTATTTCTTTCAGTATGAATATAACGCCAAAAAAAAAAACAACTCTTAGCATGCGTGAATTTTTGCTTTGTTTTCGCCTTACCTTCGCTCGTGCCTCACGCGACGCTTCAGCTTCTGCTGCCATCGCTCGCTGCATTTGTACGGGCAAGCGAACATCTTTGATCTCTACTCGTTCGACTTTAACACCCCAGGAATCGGTGGCATCGTCAAGACTGAGCTGCATAATGTGCGAGATCGACTCGCGTTCCGAGAGAATCTGCGATAGGTCTTTTGTACCGAGCACGTTGCGAAGTGTAGTGGCTGCCAGTAGCCTCGTGGAACGACCATAGTCCTCCACGTTCGTGACGGCAATAGTAGCGTGCTGGATGCGGTAGTACACCACGGCGTCCACAGCCACCGTAACCGAGTCGCGAGTCAGTATCTGAGTCAAAGAGACGGACACTGGAATTTTAGAACAGCGATGATGAAGCGAAAAATGAAGGAACCGTAAACAAACCTAACGATTACGGCATGATACATAACACTATCGTAGCACTCAGCTTGTTTTAATTGGACTCTCGCGTTAGCTAAAGGCGACTCAAAGCTAAACAATTGAACTACCATGTAACAACTTTTCAAACTGCAGGTTGAGCGGGAATTTTGATGGATCTGGGTTGTAATATTACGTTGAAGAATACCCAGGGGTCGTAAAAATAAAGCTGACATGAAAATTATCTATTTCATGGTGTAAGCAGTGTTTGCAGCCATCGATCCGAAGCACGTGGCAATTGTGTCGGGGATCTCCCTAGGTGAGGAGTTCATCTCTCTTTTTTTGGTATTTGTTACGATATTGATGTGTTCGCATAGACCTACTGTTGTAGACTCTTCCATACGTGATAGTACTCACTTCTTGAGGAGGTACATCAAAAGAGACAGTACGAAGATCAACCTTCGTATAATTATCAATGCAGGGTATAATGAAGAAGAGACCTGGTCCACGCGCGCCTCCAGTAAGAATTCGGCCTAACCGAAAAATGACGGCTCGCTCATACTCCTGTACGATTTTAATGCACATTAAAAGCGAGATCGGTGCCGTAATGACGATGAAGAAAATCGATACCACCGTTAGGATGAATGTGCATAGTGAATTGTGACCATCCTCGGGATCTTGGCCATGCGAAATAGACACAACAAAAGGATGTAAATTTCAACATCAAAAATTATAGAAACGAGGATTCAATTATATATATATATATATATAGAATGGTCGATAAAGTACTGATTATTTTTTGCATCCGTTCCATAGAAGTAACACGAAGCTAATAACAGAGACCAAAACAGATGATAGACCGATGGCGCAAAATCTGGGCTATATGTTGGGTGCGTTAAAATTTCCCATCCAAGTTTTCTCAATGTTTGCTGGGTGGCTAAAGATGTATGTCGACTGGAGTTGTCATAATGGAAGACGTCTTTTTTTGTTTACTAGTTTCGGCCGATTTTTTTCGATTACTAGTTGTCATTTGTTGTCAGACGGGGTCCGAATCAATCATTCTGCCAGACAGCAGCAACTCATAATTCACGATTCCTTATACTATTACTACCTTTCGATTATTAATGTTATCAAACGCATAATGTTACGTTAGTTGGCGTCAATCTCGGCTTCGCCACAAATGGTGGGGCATTTTTTATCGCCCGTGATCAGGCTCAATTTCATCGCGTCTTTGTAGCGCTCCGATAGATCAAATTATAATGGAGTAAATTTTTTTGCGTCAACATACGTCGATCTTGTCGATATCATAGCTATGCACGAATCGATTTTGCTATAACTTTCGCAATGACTGTATCAACTTTTTCCATATTAGGTTGATTATCATAAGGGGCATCTTTCAAGTTGAAATTTGCAAAACGAAAACGACAGATTTATATTTGAGCCAGCTCTTCCAACATTTAACCACAAATAGCATTTTTTTTTTTATGCGCTTAGCTAATATTTACACCTTTTTCTTTTATCGTAATGAAGTCGTAAAATACAGCGAATCTTTGTGCAAATTCGTTCATTTTTAAGGCGCTTTAGCTTAAATATAAATAAGGGCATTATTATTTCACTTAGTTTAAACACAGTGCTTCCGAGTCAGATACGAGTTCCTTATTGCCTGAGATATTCGACGATCCGATATTTATCAGGAATATTTAATTAGGGATTGTGTGCCCTCTATTATTCAAGGAAATTGCCATATGATAATGACAGGTCTGATTTTAAAAAGCGAGACTTCTAGATACAACTCACGGTATTTTTATCCATTGAATTTGGCAGTGATTGGGAATAGTAGCAAAAAGTAGGTAAAAGTTTCATCAATAGGCTATAATAGAACCCGATGTCCACTTGTAAAGCGGTTGTACGTCCTTTGCGACATGCAGCCTGTCACTGTTGTGAAAAGGTATGATTTATTTTTTTTATTGGGCCTATTTTGTTGCATCGTCCTATTTAAGCTGTGCCGTACAGAGACCCTCGTCCACCGCTTTTTTTGCTTAGACGGTGTCTATCTATAAGACTTTTCTAGATCCACCAAACGCGTATCATGGTCTTCTGTGGATGAAAACATAGTTCAACTATGGATTTAGCCATATCTTTCGGAGCTACTCGTTTCTTTATTTGTTGCGCAAAGGAGTACAGATATTAGTTCTCGTCAACGATATGGTAACTCTAAGTGGGTATCCGTCGCTAAGTGTGACGAGTGAGATATTAAGAAACAATGAGAAACTGTGCTTGCTTGTGCTCTGCACTTAGTTCATAAGGCTACCCAAGTTCTCAATTTCTGACAAAATCCCAGTCAAGTTTCAAGGTTATAGCAAAATGTTCACAGGCCGTCCTCTTGGCTTATGAACAAGATGTTTACCATCCCAGATCCTCATTGGGCTCAAATGGGCGACCTAAGCAGTCTGCATTTTCCAGGCCCAAAATGCCATCTTCAAATTTTCCGAAACCATTTTCGAGAGCTCTGCTAAATTTAGTAGCGAGCTTTTGATCCCGGAAAGAGGCGAAGTAAGCTAGACATATTGTTTAGAATATGCACAGACAGCCGATGGTGTGGTAAAAGGGTAAAAAGATATTTGAAAAATAAATGTTTATAATCAATCAAATATAATAGTACCAAAAGCATAAGCACAATAATAAGCACATGAGTTAAAACAAGGTAAGATATATTTAAAAATTGTCAATATTATGCAAAGGTGGGTATAAGGAGCATATGTACATAATATACATGGCAAAAAAATAGAGTTTTCAGGCACTGATCGGAGGTACATTAGTCACCAGTAATGTTTTACCAGCTTAATGTTCGTTAAGCTCAATATGAGCAAACCTGTTTTCGTGTTCTAATACGTATTGTTTAGAACGAAAGTGAGTATCTTCCATTCTGTTTATTAATTTAATCGGTAGTATGGATTAGTTAAGAAAAACAGTAGCAGTTCTATGTAAATCGAGCTTACTTAGTAGTACACATATTGTGCGAGATTTTTTTGTTAAAACTAAATATGAAACTCTTAATAAACTCTTAGAACTGCTTACCAACAGCTTATCATTGAATAAGGTATGGCAATAAACAATGCCGTCAGAACGTCAAGCTATCAAAGAAAGTAATGATTATTCCATTGTCTAATATGTCTTGATCACCTACATACGTATCATGACTTTACAACATAGTAGCAGACAAGCAAATAAACAATCTATATCTCATTAGGGTTTATTTCCCTAATCTAACTAATAACCAGTAAGACAGATCGCTTGAAAGATCACCGTACATTTCACCCTTATTTATGATGATGATATAGTAGTAATGAAATGATGAAAAGCATATACTCAGTGTTGCTTTTATATGTTATTTTCACTTTTATAGAAGAAGTGCCTATTTTGAAACGATTCGAGGACAGGTATCACAAGACTACTGACTGAAGTCGGCTTAGGCAAAGCTAGGTCCATCTCGCATTTGATATAGTTTTTCTAGAAAAGAGAGTTTTTTTAGGCCATGACTTTAAATATTGATACGAATGTTTCGGATTCGTCCCGGCCATTCATATGTCAATGCCCTCAATTGCTTCTTCATCGTCATCATGATCGTACATCCTTCCCATCCTGGTACCTTCATTTACAGTCTCAGTAGAAGTTAATTGTTTGTAAACTTTGTGCGGTAAAGTGTACACGAACAGGAACATACTAGCAACAGGATATATTCGATAGATAGTAATTTCAATTATAACAAGTATTCGATGAGCTACGTGATACTTGTTGAAAGTTCTGATGTAGTCAGCAGCCCAGCATGGCAGCGTAATAGTAAATACACAAAGAAAGTATTGTGTCATTTCCCTTAGTGCAATCAGCATCCATATTTGAAAAATAACAACAAGAAAAAAAATTCGGCTTTTTTCCTACCGTTCTGCAACATTATCTTTTACATTTCATTTCTTTACTGGGTCCACCTAATCTGTATCCCACAAAAACCATAAATCTTTCTCCTGAAATCACACCAAAGATGCAGACCTTCTATAGGTGAACTGGGTTTAAAGTTAAAGGTTTAAAAGGTATTTTTTTATAGTTTTTTTTTTATTCCCGAATGACCCATTCTAGTTTACATGCTTGCTTCTTTCATTATTCTGTACGACTCATGTTAGCCGCATTCTTGCATTTTGTCTTGACTCAGCTGTCACTTAAAGTTCATTCTGAATGTGGTACGGCTACAAACAGACACCGTTTGTCAGGGTACAACTAGAGATAACGTGATTCGTTTGTGCCAACGGTTATAGACAATTCATCACAATTGTTGACAATCAATAATTGCACAACTTATAACTTACCAGTAGAGCGGTACGATAATAAGGGTATCATGGCAAGGACCGGGAACAATATATAGTTGTATCACTATTACCCCCCCCCCCCCCCCCCGGAGGATAGTAAATTGCACAAACTTTAAGCGGCTTCAAAATTGTAGTGAGCGAGCGCAAAGGCTCACAACCAGCGTACCCCACTAGTTCGCTGTTATGAAATACGAAGGCTAACCCATTAAAGCTATAATCTGATTTGCCTAAGAAAGTATGGTCCCCAAAATCCTCAAAGCAGCTTTTTAGCGGCTCTCTAACGGTAGCACGCGTGGTCGTTGTACTGCTGTGTTCTTTGTATCCGTATCTACAGTCCCGCGTAAACGAATAGCTTTTACAGAGAGCTTGTACATGTACATCGTAAAATTTGCAATTTTTTCTAAGAGCTCTGTATTAACAATAAAATGGTTAGAAACGTTAGTAACATACTGCTTTCCACCTATTGTTGCCGAATAAGCCAATGTCCACTAAAGCGTAGAACGTTCTTATCAAACTGACTAGAATGGTTAGTATTAATCAATGATAATGTTATAATCGCTGGCCTAAATATAACATTTAATCGTAACTTGATAAATCTAATAGGCTTAAGCAATATTGCTTCCTTTTAGGGCTGGAAAAACCAGCAAGCCTTGCAGGGTCTCCTTGAAACGATCTTTTAGAGCGTCTGCTTATTGCTACTTTATAGATTGGGTCAAGTCTTCTAGGAATTGACGATCGATTATTCATTACCCATTGTTTAGGAAAATCGTTGGTCCGCTATTACATAAACAACAGCTGAAACTAGCCAGAGAAGCTGGCCAGACCTTCGAGAGTCTTGTTCGTTCGGATCTTTCCTCACCAGCCGGCAGTCGGCGTCCTGTAAACACTGTCTCGTTACAACGGGTATGACGTCTAGTTTAAGGTTGGTACACACCTGCCATCTGTGCCGCCTTCGCCCATCGACAGAGAATGGCCTGCTCTGACCAACTCGTAAATTGTAGGCCGAATGGCCGCGAATTTACTACTATAATTTTTCCCTTTGTAAAAAAATAGCTCATCAATGCATCCACACCTTGCAACCAATGAGACAGACGTGGACTAGATAGGCAACAACGCTACGGTTAAAGTAGCATATTTTAGACTACGCGTTTTGTTAAGAGGTATCTAAAGCTAATGAGGGAACCATGTCTGTTTTCGGTGTTTTTGTATAATCTATATGTTGATGCAGAAGCCAAGCAAGGCGGTGGCGTGCCTCAAAATTAACGTCGGCATGGTTTACGTACATATAAATAGACCCATAAAAAGTGTGCTCATTAGTTCGCAAGTATTTAAATTATGGGACATTAATTCAGCCAAGCACATGGTACACAAAGATGCCGCTGTACATGAAACATCAGCTAGAACAGTCGAGTAAATCAAGCAGTGATAACCTAATACCTGAGATCTGCGTAAACCTATTAAATCGCATCTGACTGTCGACATTTGATCACAATATCAGATTTGTATATATATTTGTACTGCCATGCAACACGCTCATCCGCTTCACAGTTTTCGAATGAAGCAGTCGTAGTACCACCTTCTGCAGTAAGTCTAACCGATATCAGAGTTTACCTCTTATCATCGTGCGGCTCGACTGGATCTTCACGCAACTGCTCGACTGAAGATGCTGGACATTTGCCAACCAGGCAAAACGTGGCGATAGATATAGTAATGTAGTGTTGTCTTTCATGTGTGGTAACTATTGTTGTTTGGCTGTAGGGTTAACCTGAGGTATCTACTGTAATCGAACAACTCAGGCGAAGAACAGGCGCTAATGTTCTGCGTAGATATCATCGTTATGCAACACAATTTTGGCATAACATAATTAGTGAGAGAACATATGATTGGGATGGGAGACTCTTTTATGGTGCACGAAAGGCTCAACGTAGACGATGTTTAGTAAAGTTTAATGATTAATAGGCTTTAAAGGAGCGAATGTAGGACTGCGGCCAATCGCACACTCGAGCAATAGAAAATTCAGAAGGCCGCTACGTGAGAGATGGATATGCCATTTCTTGTTGACCGCTCTTCGGAGCTGACTTGATTATGGCTTTATCACAAACCTCTCGTGTAGAGATGCCACTTTGTAGATTCTACTACTTTTGTGCCTGATCGTGGGCGTCCTTGATTCGTTTCGGACAAATGATAACGGTTAAACAAATGCTGTTCATACGCGGTTCAAGATTAGACTAAAGCCTCACGTGTCATTTACAAATTCGTCTCTTACGAATCTGTAAATACAGGTAAAACTTTCTGTTCTAATACACTATCCTATGGCATTATGGTTCAGTTGCTATTGCTAGTTTGTTGATTCATATATATATTTTAATGTTTGTTTCGCGTCTTGTTCATTCTTACTTGTATCATAACCAGTATGTTGTGGTTTAAGCTTCCTTTCAGCGAGAAGTTTAGCTTCCAGTAGCTGAGCATCTGTAAGAGGTGGTGGACCAGAAGGCTCTGATCGTTCCTGAGGAAACTGTAAAGAGTGTGCCATCATTGGGGGTTGATTAATGAATGCGGTCGAACTCTGCTGAACCGATGTCTGCCGCTCGTTTGGTGGAGGCGCCTGTCAAATTAGTGATCTGTTAACCATTGTGGCCACATCTGCACGTGCAGTTGCGCTAGCTTTTATTTGTTTTTTTTTTTTTTTTATTTGTTTGTACAATCTCAGAGTACGTGATGTGCCTGCTAAAACCGATACAATGCACTGTTTTTTGCCGACTAATCAAAAATAATTTGTTCTTTTTCGGAAAAATAAAGTTGTTTCCTATAATCGTATAATAAAAAATAAGGTTTTAGTGAATAATTATATTAAGGTTAAGATTGTCTGATAAGTTAACATCCATAGACTTAAGCTGGGAATATAGTCGTTTGTGGCACTGAGTCTACCGGATTTGGTTAAAATTTAACCAATTATCTATAGTCGGATATAATTGTGGGACGTTAAACGCCGATTTTTTGTAATCAGCTGAACGAAGTCCTTCCACAAAGTCGAAACTCAAATTTCAATTTGTCACTTGCATATATGGGGCAAGTAAGAGTTCAATAGCAGGATTCACAAAAAAAATCAACTTGGAGTTTACCCTGGAAGATCTATGTGACGAACGTCGACTCCCTGACCTCGATGGGGGAGGTTCGTCTGCTTGAAGATGTTCCGACACCTGCGAGTCGCTCGCTGATCCTGCAAATTTTGTTGGCCATTTTTAGGTCAAATAATAGTCTATGTGTACTGCTTTTACGTTAATAGTAATATTCACGCTTAAAATCAAGATATCAGTAAATGTGTACTTTCGATTGATTTTTAATTCCTGGCTGCCTTAACCTCCTTAAATTAACGGAAGAGTCTGTAACCCTTCGAAGACATGATAAGAAATGGGGGCAATTGACCAAGGTTAGGATTATCATTGTATGCGCTGTAAGGAAAATATATTCAATCGACAAGCAAATACTTAGGCACTACTCAGTAGCGAGGAAAGTTGTATCAGCTTTTGACGAGAAATAACCAGAATTAGAGTAAATTTACGATGAAGTGATTTCGAATGAAGGTAATTTGTAACTAAGGCGAATTCCAATCAAAGTTGTTTGAAGATGAAGGAAGCATCCGACAATGAAGTAATTTAAAGTGCTGAGATACTCCAAAAAAACGAGAAGCTACAGATGAAAACTAGTGAGGATTAAAGTCATGTAGGAAGTGGTTGTCGATAGTAAACTTTCATAAAATATTAAGTAAAGTTACTCTTAGTTACCGAAAATAAGTGTAGTTTCTTTTGTTTAGACGGAGGGCAAGTGTCATATATATGCAAGCTCCATCAAACTTACTTCATCAGTTCATGTTTTACGCCAAAATTTCAACAGACATGTGCCTTGATTGACTACATACCGAATAAGAATTGTGCCGTCCCATTATAGTACAATAACAGTTTACACATGACTAAATTTTCCTTCCAAAACCATAATCAAAGGAATAATTATATCTCTCATTTAGATGTCTGGTTCGTATTGGAAAGATGGACTGCTCATCTGTTCGAACTCAATGAATTTATTCCTTATTATTGTTCCCAGCCACATTTATGGTCGTAATCACATGTGCTCAACAAAGGACACGTAGATATTTTGCTTATTACTCTCCCGATACGGGTTCTTCTTGGTGTCGCTCAAAAAAGGCTTAGTCTTTGCTTCCAGCCTTTGCTTAAGCGTTGTCTAGGCTCTGACATCAGCTCTAGCCAGTTGGCCATCTCGACGAATTTTTATCGCTAGATACGCTAATATGTCTTATCGCCACGAGAAATTGCATTTTTATATTCGTCGACTAGCACTGCTATTACACCAAGAGGACCCGGGTGTCAGAGTGGTGGGCCATTTTCCTAAGGCTCTCGTAAATTTTCCGTTACATACACTTCGCATGTGTTTGCCGGAATACAAACAGATTGTTAGCTGATGCAGCAATGATTTATGGCAATGGCGTCTCAGACTGACATATCTTCTACCAATACATCTTGTCTGTTATCGGAACTGGTAAAGCGCTTTAGGACATTCTACGAATGAGCAAAATGGAAGGGGTTACGGTAGCGCCCTGACCTTTGTGATACATATCCGCTTTTCCCTAACGATTGACGAAAACTACTAGAGAGCTAAGGTCACACGCTGTGTTCGTGCATATAAAAGTGGACGCATAGGGACATTTTACGGAACTTGGTATAATAGCTTGGTTACAGTTTTACGTGGCAAAGTTCCGCAGCATCAACTCATTTTTCGCAACGTCCTTATTCGAAGTATCCTTGTCTTGAGATGTTCATGATAAAGCTCATCAACGCGAGATTTAGTTTCTAAGCTCTACAACCCACTGTAATCATCAGCAACTTTTGCAGGAGTACACATTCGCCGAATCGAAGGTGTACATCCGCGTCTAGGAACCACCTGTTTCTCTGGGTGATCGGCTTTTCGATTTGTTTTAGATACCTTCTGCAATTGAGTTCGATCGGTCTTCACGCTCTCCTCTGTTTCGTGAACCTGTTACAGGCAGGATCGACAATACCGACAATCGTCTGCCGTACATTTCGTAACCTGTAAACTGGTGACTGATGACGATTGGACCGAAGGCACCGAGAACAGAAAAACTATACGCAAAACCAATTTACAGACATTTGTTTCTTTGTTGGCGTTTCTTAACGAAAAAACGGGTTCTTCATCAGTTCATTTCGACAATAGCACTAAATGGGACGATCTCCGCTAGCATTTGGGCGCAATAGCCATTTTCTTCTTATGAACTGGTTTCTCCTAACACTACATGAATAATAATAAAGCAAAAACACAAAATGTCACTTTAGACACAGCTAGCACTATTGCACGCCAACGATTCTGCTGCCGCCGGCATGAACAAGAAACGCTTCAACTGCCAACAATTGCCAGCCACAAATGATAGCACTCCCTCCGACGAGACGACGACGATGAAGTGAACTCGAACATAGCGACTACAACTAAACTCGGCGTTTAAGGTACGATCTTGGCTAGGACTCTAGAATGGCCCTATGGCCATGGAGATAATACCACTACCACCATGAAAAAAGAACGACGATCTTTTAAACTCACCCCTCCGATACTGGCTGCTCATGGCAAGCAGGACCTGCCAGTAGCAGCATCGGCGCCCAGCAACCAGCTACCAACCAGCGGCCAGTTCTGGTAGCCACTCGTGGCACCGTGTCGGGAATAGTAATGTATGTCTGCTACTCCAGTTCGTTCAAAGTCATAACTGGAAATTTACTGAGCATCGCCGCTGTTGTCACTCGCTCAGGCTCAAGCGAATGCCTTTGGCCAAACCAATGCTGCCATGACCACCGTCGCCGCTACGCTGTTTCTCCCAGGCCCGCTGCGATTCTTGCCGGCGCTCTCAAACCACGTCGCAAAAGCCAGTCGCTAGCTGTCGACCTGCACTTAATCAGCCGGCCTGCCCTGTCTTGGGCCGGCTGGCATCAGTTGCTTATTTGCCTTCCCTTTCTGAAGAACGGACCTTCTCCTAAACGGCCACCTACTGCATCGCTAATAACAAACAGCGTTAGACTAGGCGATAGTGCTGATTCGGTGCGGTGATCGCGCGAGCTCCTCTTGGTTCCTCGTGCAAATGCCCATTTATCCGGCCACCAGTGATAGTAGCATCCGTAAACAGCAAACAAGAACGCAAAGCTATTGTAACTACTTTACTAGAGTAGCTCTCTAAGTCGCATGCGCCTGGCTATTTCCATATCGCTTACCCTCCTAAACGCATGAGTATGTCCAATGGAAAGATTTCGGTAGCGCTATTGGTCACGCGCGCGCCAGATGACGAATTTGTAGGAATGTTGTGGACGGGGCACAAACCCCGATGAATAGTTAAGCCTTGCAAAACGCCAATGGCAGAACGAGCCCGCAGACATCAATCAGAAACGGATTCTGCTTAATTCTGTTGGAAAGTTCCATGTTAACTTTCTATTGTTTGTCGTCGATTTGTTGTGCTTCTCCGAGAGTCTGCCAACGATGATCATGAGAAGTCAGTTCAATATGTGATACTGCATGAGGTGCGTGCCTGGCGAGAACGGCAGGAGCAGGGCTCTTACAGTTGGAATATGGGGCATATGGCAAGAAAGAGATTGGGAAATAAATGACGACAAAATCAGAAATTCCCCATACCAACAATTGTCGCAGCGAACAAAGAGTACAAGAACGAAGCAGAAGCATACATCCACGAAGACGATGTGATGTACAGTCACTAATAACCATTGTTTCTGTTTATGGCTGACAGACGGAATAATATAGCTTTAAGGATATCGAGGGGCCGCTAGTCACTAGGCTTCGACGCTGTTTGAAGGTGTATTAGTATGCTCTTCAGTTTGATCTTTACTTCTCCTCAGCGATGATCAAGGTGCACAAACTCACACCAGCGTAGCAGTCCTTAAGCTTCATGCGACTTTGTTGCGGTTCCGCGTAGCTAAAGGCTTGACCTTGTTTGTTTCGAATTAGTACGACTACTGTAGTTGTTTTGGCAGCCGAGGCAAATGAAATCGATGCGGGCGGCCTTGTTGACAATTAATCCATTTTCCGTTTCATAAGCGGTGACGCTTAATATGTTGCGGATCGACAAAATCCCATACACGTCGCCGGGTCTGTCCCCAGCATGCTTGTGCAGTTTTATAGTATTGGTTAATGCAAATAAATATGAATTAATTAAAAAAAACGTACGTTTCCTGAGGACAGCTTTACTCAGGGCACATATATATGTACATTTGTTCCGTGAGAGATTTTCTTCATATTATAGAATATCTTTTCAGTTCTTATTGTTTTAGATAAAATCCAAGTATTTCCTATGGTAGAAAACTTGAACACGCTAGCTTTTAGCACCGAACCAGGCAGCGACACATAATGTCTATTAGACGATCGCTACTATAAATGTAGGTAGCAAAAGAAAAGATAAGAGTTTACCTCATAATGTACAACAATTTTCTCCTTTACTTACAACCGAATTTACGTGCAACCTAATATATGCGACATATGAATAAAAATATGGCTATTACATACGAAGTGATTTTGTATTTGCAGGCACACACATAACATTCGCGTCCAATCACATAGTTCATTGAAGACACTGTGTTTCTTGCGCCAAATTACGCCTCGTATGCTTTCTGTTCTTCGATAACTTTCTTTGTGCCGATTACGTCAATACAGTGAGCCATTACCCTCATTGTTTCTGGCACTACGTTGTAATGAAGCGGGCATCTATGAGAGATTTTTTAACAAAGTTTCGTTTCAAAAGCGAAGCTCGTACTGCTTGAATAAGCACATCGATGAGATACACGAGGCACGAGCCGAGAATCAGGTCGTGCGAGGCCCAGTCCGTCACCACAAGCACAAGCAGGTCTAACACAAGGAGGTTCTTCTCGAAGCTAGAAAAGAGCAACGTTTCCAGTGTCCTTACATTGGGGTCTTTGTAGAAAACACAACGATCGTGGACGTCATTCAGTTCGACGTCAAGAAAGGTTTCGATGGCCATCGCGTCTCGGACCACATAATCGAGATCTTTAACGGCGTGTTGTAGAAACGCTACCAAAAAGCGATTGATAGCCTTGTGCGCAGCAGCAATATGTTCAATGTTCTGAGGCGGTGCCGTAGCCCCTTCAAGCAAACGTTTATAATTGCTTTTCAGCTGCGCGAGCAGACTGATCCTGAACGTCTGCTCATCGGTGCCCGGTATCAAGCCACGGTGTGCGCATAAATCATTTTCTTCCTTACGTAACTGTTCGAGAATTTCCCACAGGGAGACGTCCGCCTTACCAAGCACAGAGCGTCCATGCACATAATAGCCGTAACAAGAATGTGTCAACGTTAATACGCTAATGTTCGCTATCGAACAAAGATCTACGAACCGTGCCATGCAGTTGTATCCAATGAAACGTTCGTGGAAGATACGCATATAAAGGCAGTAAAAGATGGCGGCGAGCACGTAAATGGCGGCGACAAGGGCAAGTCGGCATGTCGAACTAAACGGGGACACCTCGGCAGAAACATCGACGCTTCCAGGCGCAGCAAGCGCCAGCGACTCGAAATTAATTACTTTAAGCACGAACAGCACAATGAGGAGCAGGATACCGATGTTGAGTCGACGATGCGTCGTCAGCTTCAAAAACTCGCCTGCAACAAGATAGCTGCGCCAAGCGGTGGCGCCCTCGGTCAGTTCCCAGTCGATAAGAAATACGTCCCAGTTTAGCTGCATAGCCATCATATCGAGAATTTCGACGGCTTTTAGAGCGAGGGCCACGCCGATGTAAGTGATAATTTCGGTTTCTTGTTCGGCTGTCGGCAACAGTAGGTGGATAATTCCCTGTCCTTTAAACATAACGAACCAGTTGAGGCACGAACAAAAAAGGACGAGCAAAAATGTGTCCGCTAGGCCCCCACACGTGTAGGCGATCAACTTATAGATGCCAACGGCGCCAAAGGATTGTGTGCCATTTCGTCGAACCCAGCCCCAGGTACGAATGCAGGCCCACATCGCTACAAGAGTACTTAGCACACCAATAGCTATTGAGATATCTTGAAACGTCTTTGACTGAACCTGTTCGTAGTGAACGCGAAACCGTAGCTGGACTTCATTTCTAGGATCAGCTTTAATGCGACCATAAGACACAATCACGAGAGGTGGGTAGGCGCTGCCCGGCGCCCGGCCGTCCCACCAAGACTGAAGTCGGACGCGTATATCGACTCGTTTAAGGTACCTAATGCTACCCGTAACCGATTCGGTGTCGACAGTAAACAAACGTCTGGTAAGCTGCCATTGTGTCTCGGCCCTATCAGGCTCATTGATTGCGATACCGTTTTTGCGCAGATTTCGCACCAGCACAGGAATGGGATATATCGTATGCCCATTGTCGCTGACTAAGTAGATATCCATAAGTTTCAGCCGCGGCTGGCGTAGCTCCTCAACTGTAACTCTACACGTAACATCCACGTTTGCGGCAAACGGTAACTTTGTAGGTATTTGTGCGCACGGAATCAGCTCTCTCGTATACAGTTTTCCGTCCTTTACAAAATGTCCATCGAGGTCGAACGTGATAGCATGGAACGAAAGTAATGAACTGTTCTTGGTTGGATCCAACGTGAACTTGTTGGGTAGGTTTGTTTTATAGAGAGTTTGCGGCGTTTCTTCATCGTAATAGATCCACGGCCCGTTTGTTGGACTGCGCTGACCAACAGTAGGGATAAGTTTAAGGTAGAGTGTACATGGCGATTCCTGACTCTGCGACATCCGGTACTGTGATAGCACGCAGAGGTTCGCCAATAAATTGCAGTCTTCACCCGAGTTACATCTTTGGTATGCTTTCGTAATCCGTCGCGAAATCATTTCGGAATGTTCACGGTACTCGGGGAAATCAGGATCGCTATCCATGATAAGCGTTTGCTGTTTCTCCCACGTGGAGCAATTTGGTTCGAGGGAGGTTTGGTTTGAGCACGGCTTACACTCGGCCGATGTCTCATTCTCAACAAGCACGGTCCCTTCGGGACAACGGCTGCATTCCGTCGTGCAGGTTAAGCAATGGCCGCGGGCGCTAGACGATATTTCGCTGATGGCACATGGCCAGCATTTAAGTTGGCGGAAGTTCGACCTGTACAGTTGCATAAAACCTTTTCGGCAGACGCAGGAGCGGCCTTCATGCGATGTGGAGTTGGGGGGGCAGGGAACACAGCTGATTCTGAACGGATCGAACACCGTTCCATTAGCAGCACACATCTCCACACTGACGAAACGCAGCTGGTCCCGTAGTTGACTGGCAGTTAAAAACAGCTGACTGAATAACATTACTAGAACAGCTACGGTGGATACCCCGACAGGCTTCAACTGGGTATCCATCCGGTTCAAGCGCCATTTGCGGAACCGCATTACGCATCAATGGGCCACCTATTAACGCCGTCTCGTCTATAAGCGACCTCCAACTTCAGCTGGCAAGTTACTTTCGTTTGTTGCTTTGCTGGTTAACCCATTCTCTACTATTTTGAAAGGTTAAGTGGGCTGAGAGATCCACAGGACTACCATCGTCTACACTGCGAGTGTTGATACTGTAAAATCCTATCGAATTCGAATGGGGAGCAACGGGTCGCCATAGAAACGAGGGGTATACACGGGGGCCGCGAGACAGAGACCGAGGGAAAGCAAGCCCGCAAACTGCCCCGAGTTTCCGAATACTTCTCTGATGTGTTAGTCAAACGGCGCTACAAGTTAATTTAGTTCATTTAGATGATTGTTCACAGTATCTTATAACACATATATTATATTCACGTGTATAGGATTGCAAGCACAATGGCTGTAGTGCCACTACAGTAAATTATATATTGCTCGTTATTGTAGCTATTCATTTTTATTACTATATGTTTAATATATATCTAGCTAGCTAAAAAATCACAGTTAAAAATAGTAACTCTACGCCAGACAGAAGTAGATCAAGATAGGAGAAAATGCCTGCAATTAAGCATAAAATGTGGCGAAGTTTTTCCAGATATTTTACAGATTGCACGGTATTTATAGGTAATCGCATCCTTTCTATAGCAAGTCTGTATGAAAAATATTTACTACGCCTTTTGCAGGTGTTCCTTCTAAAAAGGCTGCTTTTTAGCTGAGTGCTTTGAGCAAGGCGCTTACCCTTATATATGCTATTCGGTATCGGCCAATATCAAATACGGTTTCACTGCCCGTATAAATTAAAACACTTAGGGAGCATTGCATAGGGTTATGCTAGTTTGTATAATAACTAAGCCCAGCTCATTTACTACATCAAGGTTCCAAAATCATAGAAGATCAATATCTCACATAAGCTAGCCGAGAATTTTTTTCTAAAATCTGATTTTCCCTAGAAAATATAACTAAAACCAACCTGCTGCAAAGGATTAAACGAAAAATATCGTTATACCAATTTAATGGAAAACCGTTTCAAATAACATAACATAACATCGAAATAAACTAATAGTGAATATATATTGCTTTGTGTAAAAAAAAAATAATGACATTAGACAACTTCGTCTTGATAAAAACAACTCATCCAAATTACGACCACCTAAACTTATCATTTCATGTATTAGAAACGTGTAGAAAACGGGATCGAACTAGTATCCGAGTACACTGGTATCATTAGTTGATAAGTCACACTTTTTTTTTGTCTAACTTTTTCTTTCGATGTTGAAATTATGGATTTGTCATAGTTTACTTATGGGGATCAACAAGCTGGTCGGCCTGCTTAAAATCAATAATAATCTATTTAATTGTTTAGAGGAAGATAATTCAATGACTATGTGATTTTTAAGCCGCTTCGTTATACTTAGTAGCGATACCTGTTGAGGTAAATTCAAATGTTGAACTTCACAGCTACCATTTAGTAGCAAATACAGAAGTTCCTGCCGATATCTGAATTAGGAAATGGTACGTATATAGTAGGAGACTCGGGTACAACTAACGGATTTCATGTCGAGCTTGTTTTGTTATTAAACATGTCCTATTTGGCCCGTTAATTTTAATTATGATAAAGGTAACATTGAATAACAGTTAGTATTATTACATTGATTGACTCAAAATCTAATAGTATCTTCCAAGATATAATTTAGACGTCGTATTTCAGGCCGTGCATTTTTTCACGAAAATTGGCGAGCAACACAAGCAAAGCTTATTATTTATCTTACTTATCGTTCTTCCCCCTGAGCTTCGGCGTATGTGTGAAACTACTTTAAAACCTCGGTAAGCACGCAGCGTTTCCCGTTGTGTACCTGGTCACTTTAGGATCAAAAACTTTATTTTGTCTTTTGCATCGTTGACAGTATTCTCTTTAGCTTGCTTGCTCCAGGCCTTTTTTCAATTCGATGCTGTTTTCTGGATACCTTTTTAAGTTTTAAAGTTGAAAATTCAATTACTAGTTACTCCTTGGACACCATGACCGTGGAATATTGGATTATGAAATGTCGCAGGAGTCCGACACTTTATTATCACCTACGCACAGCAAATGGCTGGTTTGCCTGTGAGTTAACTCTAATAGAGCTCTGATTTTAATGTAAAAAAACTGTTTTTTTTTTTATTAAATTAAAAAAAAACATTCTCAATTTCCATACATCGTCTGGTCGTTTGAGGAAAGTCAATGTGAACTTACCTAAGCGTCCAAGGCCAAAAAAACTATTTAAATACTTAATTTTTGATAAATATTGTTAGTATATTTGACAAAGCAAACGTCCGAGTTGAAATTGCATTATTCCGAGAGACTATTCCCCACAATAATTATAAATATTTAGGCACAGTATTATAGCAAATATTTATCACTTGGCTGTTGAAGAAGAGTAAAATTTACTATTCGTGACATAGTCAGTCAGTCAGTCAGTGTCGCCATTTTCGTTAAGAAAATTGCCCTTAGCTAATAAATAAGCTAACTTAGTTCGATAGAACGCTCGTCTTCTCTGTACACCTTTCAAGAAATATTCGTCTTTATATATTGATCCGAACGTATTTAAGTGGTATTAGGCCTGTGCCTGCCGACTGCGAAGTCCATTAAGCGGAAAATATGCACTCGTGTTTTTTGACATTAAATGGTACTCAAGCTCAAAAGCGTTACGCTAAACACTCATCCGATACAGTAGGTAAAAGGCCCAGATCGTGGGTAACCCTTGTTGAACGCGCCAGATGTTCAGGTATGTCTGGGCATTGATTAGTTTTATATGTGTCCTTGTTTCATGGGTATCCTTTGTTCATTAGAAACAGTTTAAGTATCACTTTCAAAAAGATTTACCATCTGAACCGCACGAGGCATGCGGATCCAGATATGCGTATCTACGGAAAGGGTAAATCTCGCTGAGAATTTATCGTGCTGCTTGTTCTCTAGATGTTGAAGAATCTTAGCGTTCAAAGACATCTGTAAATAAGCACTCTCCTGTCATATGATGGGTTTTATGGTAGAGTTTGGTTGGTGGTCTTGTAAAAAGCTTCGATTACTACATCAAGACGCCTCAGGACAATTGAGATGGCCTTATAAGGCCGAAAATTAACAAACTAATTCTATTATAACTTTGAACGCAGCAAATTTTTTTGCTGGGAAAAGCCCACACAATTTTAATAGCTAATTGTATGTTATAGCACGCTAAAAGTAATGCCCTTAGACATCTAGCTAGGTCGCAGGTGGTCAAATTCTTGTTATCTTTTAGATGGCAATTTAACAAGATTAACTATAGTTCAGTAACTACTATGATTAAGTCAATATCTTTGTAATATTGTAATATGCCTACGGGCTCATTGCACTAAGGGATATTGAAAAAGAGACGCAATCTGTATTTGCTTTATTGCAGAGGTAGCTCTTTGAGGATTTTTTTCTTAAATGCGTAATCACTTCATAGTACTATTTTTAAAAGAAGAGCATAAAGAACAAATCACGGTTCACTATAAGCACGCTTAAGGAACGACGAACACTTATGGGAAGTTGAACATCGCTTTCATCGTGCTCTTGACTTGAAAAGCATAAAACTAAACGTAATTTCGACGTTTTACACTTTATTTTTTGCTATTTACAAAACGAACAAATATATATTTGAATTAAAAAAAAAAAAGCAACGGAAAAATTCTCCATTATTTAACAAAAAAAAAAAAGGCTAACCTTAAAATTGGGTTAACTTTTTGGCAGTAAGCGTCACCGCCTTAGCTTATGCTTTATGGGCTAAGTAGGGCGACATGACTAAATACTAGATCTGTCTTGCAGAGATTCCGTTTAAACAAGTACGTACCATAATCCACAGTTCATTTCAAAATAACGCCCATGAATGTAAGTCCAGGCGTTGAGCAGGCCATAGACCGATCTGTTCTAAGCATAAATACGCAGGAGTTTTGAGTGTTTTGAGGACGAGACTACACTGAACGAAGTATTATATTATAGCGGCACAGTAAAGTGCGTTGGACTATTTTCATTTGAACGCAGACTTATAAAGATTAGGTTAACGCAAGGAAGGAGCCATCTTTGTCGTTGGTTCACCCTTCTTCTTAATCATTTCGTAGCATCGGAACACTGACAAATGGCAGGAATTTATTAAATTTATCGTAGCCAGAAGTAGCCTAAGCCTGTCATCTTTCAGATAGCTTGTCGTGCTGCCGAGTCGTTTTTGCACCACCTTGCCCGTGTGAAACTTCTGAAAAGAGCACATATATTTTAAACCTTAAAATCAAACGCTTTTAATGAGTGATGCTTGCTAGTAACGAGAATAAGTTTTAGCGCGGATCGATGACTTAGAACCGCGGAACTCTCTGTTTAAGAGATTCTCAAAAGCTTAAGTGGCTACGACTAATTATTTATCACTTATAGTTGGATCTGGAACAGTGTAAAACCTGTGGATGATCTGTAAGGCAGGCTTCCAAACAGCAGTCGATTCTAAGCTTGGATCACAAACGAGAACTGACTGTATCTTGCTAAATGATCTACTTGTTTTCCTTAGCCAGGTCACTCTACTACATTTTTAAATAAAGTCGAAGGGGAAAACTATCGGACTCGAAGCTACCGACAACGGCGAAAGGGAGTATCTCCCGTCCTTTTGCTAGAAATATGATTCTGTTTAAGACGGTAGTAGTCAATTAATGCCGTTCGAAGTAGAACATCCGACCGATGAAACGGTGCTCATTTAGTGGATACGAAAGAGTGCCATACGGCGCAGATGGTTGATGACACACTAGTGCTCATTATTGGTTACGAGTAGATTTAGTGGGCCACGTGACCTTTCAAGCATCGATGAAAAGGTCGGCTTGCCAAGTCTATCAGTGGCTTCCAAACTCCGGGATGTCATTACGGAAGTTATTAAGTGATTGTTCTCAATAATTCCACTATTTTCATAGTCATCTAAGAAATGTAATGACGGACAGTGAATTATTGAAATGCAGATTTTTGTTACGTGTTTCCTGCTCTCTCCTAACGTAACTCCTTTACTCTCCTAGAGGAGTACTGCTGTTTCTGGATACACAACGAAATTAATAACTAAACTGTATACACACTACTGCGACGCTAAATCAGCAATAACACGTTTCTATTTACAACATGAAGGAAAAAAAGGATAGTTCGATAGAAGTTCTCGTTCCCGTTGTACTTGTGTCCACGTGCGTTCTGGCCATTATCTTCAACTCGCTAGTGCTTCTCGTGTTGAGATGCTCCCCACGGATGCGGCAGGCCAGTTCAAACAATCTCGTCTTCAGTTTAGCCCTTGCTGACCTTTTTCATGTTGTCACCTATACACCGACGAAGATCATTCAGTTTCGTTACCGTAAGTTATGATATCAAATCAATCGAATCTTTAGTTGAACCTCTTTTCTGGAAGTTTGCTTTAAACGGCATGTTCCCAGTCAGTACAAGCCAGTTGGCGCATTTGGATGCGAATTCAAAGGATGGATAGCGTTTCGCGAATATACTCGTCTATATCAGGATTAAATAGATGCCATCTCTATTTTTACCACTCGATACTTCGTAATGGATGGAAGAGAGTCTAACGAAACAGAGCAATTCTTTGAATGACGAAGTTCAGAAGATACTTAGACTTAATCTTTAATCAATTTCCTCGCTTGTGTTTTGCTAGTGGCTAGCTTGAATTTCGCGTAAGTTCGTACCTCTTCTTAACGCCGCGGTCACACTATATAGGTAGCTATAGGTACCTGCGCGGATCTCGAATCAGTATTTGTAAAATATCGAATCGTAGTAAGTGAATGTAGGAGTACCCAGACAGCCGCATGCCCTTCAGCAAGCATGTCGAGCGTATAGCGGGGAAAATGCTGTAAACGGATGTTGAAATGAAGCCTGTATTTCGAACGTACGCCTAGCAAGACGAAACACAACAGCTTGTGTGTACTTTAAAAGATGGGAAAAAATGCGACTTGTCCATGTTAAAGTAAGCCAAAAAAAACTTTCGTGCATGCCATTTGTAACGACCTTAATGCATGTTAGCTATAGCCCTACATTCAACTTGACCGCAAGGAATCAGACATGATTTTGCCTCTTGTGAACTTAGGCTTCTTCTGACCGCTTTTTTTTGGAAAAGTCTGCAATATTTAATCATTTTTTTATGGTATGTTTCTACTATTTGTTACGTTCTCAAGCTAAGCGATACTTTTTAACATCTGCCAGGTTCGTTTTGGATTATGTTGATAATATGACCCATGTAGTCTACTGTCCTCGCTCGATCAGCGCATCCTCAAAAAATACCCATTTTTCTTTTATAACGAGCTATAAGTAAGCTTGGATGCCAAAATACTGGGTGGTCGCGGCAGTACCGTACCACCTCAAAGCCTCGATGATTCATCAAGACCTCGTCATCGGCCCTAGTAAAAAAAAACCTAAAGCAGTTCCTCACATGATTTGTGCAGTTTTTGCGCAGACTCAGCTCGTATCTTTGTGGTCTTTTTTTAGTATCTAGATAGATACCAAAAAACAGAGATAAATAGAGAAAGACACAAAAATCTAATGATACAGTTTGATTCACCGGTCTAAATTCTGAGGCCGTGATTGCACGTGGATTCTGTTATAGTATATCAATTTTGTAACGTTTCCGTTAGATACATTTATATACAGTATGCAGTACGTAAATTTAGACTTCCTCATATGCTTTATTTTTAAGACTGCATCTAAATAAAAACAGTTATTTGAACAATTTTTTTTTGCATATGCTAAAGTATCATTTTTCACGGTTATATTTTTTCAAAAATAACCACCATTTACCGTGATCACAATTTTATCCTTTAGTTACTTTCTAACTATTTTTTTTAACGCGCAATCAACATTTTAATACTAATCGTACGCCAAACGATATTGATAGGCATAAACATAATAGTTAAAGTGTCTTTCGAATACGCTACAGATAAAAAAAAATTCAGACTAAATTAAATTTTGGACTAGTAGCAGGCCAAGGTCCTAAAATTACAAGCGTTTAAAACGGCTATAAACCGTCAAAGGTGTTAAAAAACGCTAAAACATCTCAGATGTCTAATTTTTACAGCCTATCTGTGACCCAAATAGAGATTAATATTCTCTTTTAAAACGATTGTTAATTTTTGTAACTCAAACCTAACCGTATACAAAATGGCTTTTTCAGCCGTTCTGATTAAGTTCCGAGGCGTTGAAACTTAAAATCTACGGAGGATCCTCTGACCTGCACCATAATAGCCTATTTCAGACCTTTAGAGGCCAAATCCGTTCGTCAAGCGCATAAGAATTAGGTAATAGCGGATCTTCCCTCGAATTTTAATAACAGCATAGCTGTTTGTCGTCCTGATGAACTTGTTGTTTTTGTCGAAAAGACCGGCTTTTGTTTATTATCAAAAACAGTAAATGTATCAGAAGTAGCCGCGAGGCCATTGTGGCGCACAAGAATGCGTCGTTTTTGGACCCTGAACGAAGATTAGCTATTATCCAATTTCTTAAATAATAAATAATAAATAATAAATAACTAAATTTCTTAAATAATAAATAATAAATAAGAATAAACCTTCACCAATACTTTAACACTTTTTGGGTTAGCCGGAGTCGGCAGTGCAATGCGTTGGAAACGAGTATGTGGCCGTACAGACCGCGCAACAAAAAATCCACAATATCTGAAAAAATCATGTAGTCTTCAAAATTGATCGTTATCAGTCAAAATCATGTCACTGCTTATCTCCTTACTAGAGGCGTGCGATATCACGGATTGATCACGAAGATTTCAGCCTTATATTTATATATCCAAATTAGCCATACTGCCTGACGACTAGACAAACTAAATATAGTCTTCTATAGAATAAAAAAGCAGATTATATGCTTTGCTGACAAGAATTTTTTTATTCTCTAAAAGCTAACGCAATAATGATCGCTGGTTTGCTCTTGAGCTGTGAACAGAAGTGAATTTTTGGCCAAAGTTTATGTTCTGGGTGTGGTGTTTGGGAAGGAGGGTATCATGCCGCCATGCTTCTTCCAGGAAGGGCAATACGTAACGAAATTTATCTGAATGAGGGTAGCTATAATGTCCAAAGGAAGATCATATGTATTCCAACAAAATAGTACATGAGCCTGTAAGTGCCGAGAATATCTGGGATGAACATGTATGATCGCTAAGAAGCCCGAATCTAAACCCGTTACCTACGTTATCATAAAGCATTACTGAGCGACAACCCACTAATCTCGAGACGACGACAAGCTCACTCGTGCTTTTGTGAAGAAGGCGTATTACAACAAAAACATTTGAAACGAGCCTGTGAGGGGTCGAACTGGTGCTATAGTCGCATTAAATGGTAACTATATTGAATAAGCATGACCGCCAATTCCAGTATATGCAAGAAATTCCACTTAAATATCTGTTTTTATTTAGATTCGGTCTTAGAAACAGGGTATGCGGCATCCTCATATACGAGATGGGCGGAAGGTCACTTGACAGGTCGAAAAAATGTATTTGATTTTCTCTTTTTAATTTTATTATATTTTAGTTTCTTAATACTTTAAGAGATATAGATAAAAACTCTCAAATTGTGCGGCTTTTTCAAACTGTCAAAAGACAAGAGATTGTCTGTCCTGTATATATGCCCTTTTTTAAGACAAGCGTTTTATTATGCCTGATTGATTCTGGGAAGCAAAGACCCTAGCGGACGGTACTAGGAACTGTAAAAGCATTACGGTCGAGAATTCAGAAGGCTTAAAAAAATACAAGGTAAAATGCCGCAGTTTTCCAATAAGCCAGAATAAGGCAGCTATCTGGCCAGATTAGTAAACATCTATATCTTCTGCTCTCTGTCGCATTGTCTAGTGATCAACATATGTTTCGAGTCATTTTTGGAGATAGTTTGCCCTGAGGCATCTACATAAGCCTCGCTATGATTCCGAAAGGGCGCACCGTAAATGCCCATGGGCATCCTCATTAGGTAGGAAAAATCCAACTCCGGATCCTTGGTTTATAACACGAGTGCGATGAAAGGACTGTTACGATACGATTTTCGTGGTAAATACAGGCCGGCGATGACGTGATCCATTCAGTCTATAATATTATACGTCCACGTAAACATGGCTGTGAAGTTATGATCCAAATGTAGTATCATATTTATTTCAGTTTGTTGGTAGTTGATGATACCTTTGCGTATGTGAGGCAGTAGAGTATGTTTAAGCATAAAAGGAAATACACAAATATTGAAACAGGGCGCCAGTTACGAATGTAGCTACGAAGAATCCGGGATTAGATATCATAAAAAGTTATATTTTATTTCCACTGAGATTCTACAATTTGTTTTCTAACATTGCATCTGCATTACGATTCTTTTATTAATCAATGTGGATGTAGTTAGTACATTATATAACCACATGCTAAAGCATATAAATAATAATAATAAGGCAGATCGATATGACGTCTGGCATTGCTATGTGAGTTGAAAACAGGCGAACCCCTATAGGTAAAACATATAGATAAAGTGGTGACAAATTGGTTTGAAATAGGTTATATCCGTGTGCACGCCATGAGATGTGGCCATCCTCCGACAACAGCCTTTTTTTTTAACGACTTTATAAAAAAAATAACAATTTGTTTTTGTTATTTTCAATACAACACGGTATTCCAGGCAATGGCTGGGTTTGGGGAAACTGGGCCTGCCGTGCGACGATTTATTTCAAGGACATGTCTCTTAGCATTACACAGTACACGCTTGTGCTTATGGCGCTAAACAGGTAACATCTTCTAAGGGCTTTACTACTTGGTAATGAACGAGCTTCATTTCAAATCAACAATGTTAAAAATTATGTTCGTTCACAGTATGACGACAGTGTCTATAGACACATCTGAAATACTAGGACCGCATTAATCCAGCTTTTTTTTTTTCAAACATTATGTGTGTATGTTTATTATTATTGTTGCTAGGTTGTGTCTCGCCCAAAACTACTGGGTACCTTTAAGTGCAGTGAATAGCCAGATTTCAGATAATGAATGAATTAAACCTTCCTAGAAACGTAAAAGTTTACAGTGTTCAACTTTTTACTGTCTACGATAATGACAGCGCTCTCCTAGGTTACGTACGTACATTGTTTAAAAAGCAGCATACGTTTTATTTTAATTAGGATCGCTGAAGCCTTTCGAAAGGTCTAAAATACAAGGGGTGGCTTTGCTGAACCGAAATCCATAAGATTCGGCCGGGTGATTAAGCTAAAAAGCCAAGCTCAGAAAGGTTACAAGATCCGTTTGCAGCAACAAGCTAGTGCTCGAAGTACGTGCACTGTTAGAAGCCACGATGTTTAGATCCCGATTTCTGTTTTAGAATACAATGTCCGGGTTCTTTGTTTCGGAACAATGGAAGAGGAAAGCGGGCAACATAAATAGCGGTTATTACGTTTGAAATATATCGAGAAAGTAAAGGTAAGAAATCGTTGATTTGAAGTCACTTGTGACTGTATGAAACGCTCGAAAATAGACATTGTATATTGTAGGCTATGTTGAAATAAACGACCAGAGAGGAAAACATCTGAAATTGGTTTGTTCTGAGTCCAGAATTTTGCCAATCCATTGGTTAAGGGAAAATTGTTTTGCTCTTTTTGCTCAACAACTCAATAAGGTTGTAGAATTGCGACATATACACACCTGTTGTTGGTCATGGGCAATTCTAAAGTATTCCATAACGCACTATGACAATTCTTTATCTGACAATGGTCAGAGCTTTTACCCCCTGTTAGCACGACTTCGTTTAATAGGTCATTGTCAACTCGGTCATTTTCCGTCAAAACGTTTAATTATTTGTCGTAATATAACGATTGCTTAATATAAAGCTCTGTTCAAACGTCTAACTGTTTAAGTTACACATAATAAAAACGTCAGTTACCCTTTTGTTCGACTAGTACATAGATGTAACGTTTTGATTTATTCTAAAAATAGTACAACACCTAATGGTAGCTTTATAGAAAACCCATGTTGCAATTACTCCTGACTAAAAGGTTATGATTATGGGTTTTTCCGAAAAGCAATTCATTGGCAAAAAACAGCGAACCTTGTCGGGAAAAATTTTAACAGGGACTTTTACCGATTTTTGTGAAAACTTTTCGTGTTAGGTAATCATGGGTCTATGTACGGCCTGCACGGCCCAAAGAGGAATCTGCTTGTCTTTTGGCTGGATTTCGTAGCCTAATGGGTATCGGACGAGCTGCAAAGTTGCCGACGCAACAAAGCCATGAAGAACGCAGCACTATATGATCTTGATGTTGTTGTTTCTTTGTCGTCAATCTATTATCGGCGCAAGAGAAGTTAGCACTGTTACTAAGTAAGAAGTTAGTCAGCGTTATGTAGTCGACCCGAGGATTAAGTACGTAACCCGATTTTGGCCGCGGAGAGAAGCGGTAGCTACTGCGGATTGGCTCCGTAACATATTGTAGCAAATGGAAGCCCAAATTGTTTGGCTCGCACTACGAGAGCAACGTAAGATTGCTTGTTTGTTTATTATATTTATTAAAGAACATCTTCTGTAAAGTGCATTTTCACACATAAACTTAGGTACCCAGGTACTTAGAGGATGCTCACCAATTGCCTATGGACTAAGAAACGAGAGGCAGTATGAGCCTATAATTAAAGAGTCAGCTGTAGTTCACTTGGACATCGAGCTTCTAGGAAAGTGGCCTGTAATACTGAATAGTCTCTCGCATTCGAGAGTCGACGTGGTCAGCAGAGAGGGTAAGTTGTAGGGTTTTTGTCAGCGATGACCTAGGCCGTTATTTGCCTTAAGTGCAACCGGCCTCAGTATTACTGATATCCACTTCGGCAAACATAATAGCTTCGAACTGCTTCTCTGCTGCTGGTTCTCCCGAACGAAGATGTGGAGGTTATTGCGATTGCTTGCGCTTTTAAGCGTTCTCTGTGAACATCCTCGGACAGTCTTTGTTCGGACATGCCGACGTTTGCTCGTTCGCATGTTGCACGATTCAAAGTTGACACCAGCACTCTTTGCAAATTTAGAATTCTGAACCGGTTTGCCGTATCATTCTCTAAAAAACGTATATCGGAAATCTCCCGTTAGAAATAGGTATAATAGTGGGGATCGGAAAAGGCTGTGCACCTCATTGCGACAGAGCTCAGGCGCCCAATGAGAAGAAACGTTTGTTTCCAGTTGTTTTCCATATTTTAAATGTAAAAATAAATAAAGAAAAAAAAAAAACAACGTGGCGGATAACTCTTACTGAACATCGGTGTTGATTATCTGAAGGCGCTTTCAGATAGCAAATTCGCAATTGCTGCTTCTTTTAGCGACTATAATTATTTAACTTTCGAGTCGACTGCGTGATGGTGTCTGAATTCAAATCTCTGATGCGCCGATAAGAAATCGGTAATTTAATTAACGACAAAAAAACACCGTAGAGCACTGAAGTTATATAGCGATGTGTTCTTCATGGCCACGCTGTATCATTAGCTCTATACCTCACCGGATGCAAAGATACCCATTAGATCACAAATTCGATTAGATAACCGAATTCAGCTTATACACATCGTTTAGTCATCGCGACAAAATGGCGATTTTTTCGAAATAATCGAAGAAGTACACGTTCAAGTACTTGCTGGTACGTTTGTTGTTTGCCTCTTTCCTGCCGTTTACCAGTATTTATTGTTATGATCATTTTGGTTTTGAAAGCAGAAAATAGAGAGAAGCCCTAACCTTGTTACCACACACCATTCAGATTGTGCACTTTCTAAGAATGTATCTTTGAGATTTGAATGCCAAAATGGGTCTCGACTCAGTATAACCGCTCTTTTGCCTAACAGCAAACCAGCTATTGGCTAGTAGATAAATAAATGCACCCCGCCTGTCATCACTTATTATTGTGCTAGTTTTGCGTTCAGGTAGCTGATTACTAAAAACGTAACACTTCCATCCACGGAAATAGTCTTCTCAGTTCTTCCCATTGGGTGCTATACTTATCTTGGCAGAAAGGTATAAATAGTCGCTTAAAAAGAAAAATCGTATTGTGTATATTTATACCTATGTATATATTATACCCATGGAACAAGTAATCTGTACTTATGTATATATTAAGCAACTAATGAAGATTCAATTCAGTCCACCTCATAACGCCCTAGATAGTGTTCCGGACATCGAAATAGCTAGGTCGCTTTGATACGTAAGTCACTTGTATTTTTACCCTTCGACACGATAGGACCCTTGCCGAGAACTAAGTTTTTTTCCTTACAATGTGGTGTGAAAAAAGCGACCTCTGAATAAATGTTTTACCATTTCGAATCACCATTCAGAAGCTAATCAGACGGCTGCTTTGTGCCAATTTTTCCAAAGCTTCAAACATTAAGTCTTAAATAAAGCTTTGCATTTGTTTGAGATCTCTTATTTGTAATGGTAGGTCTAGGCCCGAAGGCTGTCCAGTGCTAATCAACTAGGCCTGAATCCTAAAACCGACACGTTGTTCTTATAAGTACAATATTTTCCTGCAATTAAACAGGTATCTGGCGGTCACGTTACCTTCGCATAGTTTGACTCGAGCGTTGCACCGACACTCGAACGCAGCGGCTCTCGCCATTTGGTTTCTGATGCCGATCGCGAACTCGCCTAGCTTTTTCCTCTATGGAGGTAAGGTGGAAAGGCTTTTATTATTCTACTAATGCCTTAGGCTGTTAGAGAAGCAGTAAATACGTTCAGTTATGATCGAGTTCATGCACTGCCTATTGTTACCTGTTCATCATTAGGTTCTTAGGTCTTGCGTAGCGTTATTAAATTGTATATTGTTTATGTTATTTTTTGAAAAATAACTCAATTAAGCTTACAATATGAAATTTAGCATATTACTATTTTTTTTATACTCTTCCAGGTGTAAATCAATTGTCTAGGATAGTTATGTTTGTATTATGTTCATCACTGGGATATAATGTCCGTTGAACAAGTGTTTGGTGTACGCGGATTCTAAATAAAGAGCACAAGCGCTATTCATGCTCTGCTCTTTACGTTTTCATTTTTAACCAGCTGCTTATCGGCGTTCCCTATAGAGGTTTGAGCTGGTCATTATCTCTCCGGTCGTTAGTGTAAAGAGATTGCTTGCAGTCAATGATTCTAATTGGTCCTGCGTAAACAAACTCTGAAGTACCTTACTTTTTAGATAAAACAATTAGAAGCCCATCGTTTTACGAATCTGAAACACGCTGAACTTATGGAATTACACTCATGTAGAAAGAACTTCGAAGCAAAATGGGATAAATAGTTAGTCTGGTACGTGCATTTTTTTCTACTGCCCAAACGTTCGCCGATTCCACAGAGATAGAATGGTCCAATATAAGAAAACGAACCTATCACTGATCAAAAATTCGATACGTCGAACGTAATTGGGCATAGACCTATGTTTAACTAACAGTACTGGGTCTGAACGTTAAGAGCTGTGGGACGAAGGACCATAGGTCGATTGTGGTGCGTCATCCAGCAGCAATGAAAATTGTTCCTGCTTTGACCAGTTATAGAGACGAAACCCTAACGCACAATGTTTCCTCACCTCAACAACAAGACAAAACAGTCTAATTTCGTATAATAACTTACGTCTCGTACGTAAATGGTTTGCCCAGCAGAGCATAGCTACGCGTTCAGCTCGTATTTAACTGACGTTCCCTTTGGCTGTACTGTAAACTCAACTTTTTCAAATCACCTTCCATATTTATTCCAGTTGGAGAATATGTACCGAACAAAGGCTTCCCGGATGTCGTTCTCACAGTCTGCACGTTCAACTATCTTGATACTTTCTTCACGTATCAGCTTGTACTTTTTGTGCTTTTCTATGCTGTGCCCGTGGCGCTCATATCGGGATTCTACGTACTCTTAGCAATGGCCCTCCGCGACCAGCTAGCGAACGGCGGCCAGGAGACGCCACAAGTGACAAAAGCAGCTCGAATTGTTGTTGGCTTCGTCGTTTCCTTCGTAGTCCTATCAACTCCTCTTCATGTAGGCTATTCTCCTTATAATCAAACATAATATACTTTCTGATAACAACAAAACGTAGTGTATAGCGGAATAGATGGCTAACGTATTTCATAAACTAGATAGGAAGGTATAAGTGAGTAAAATTCTGTGTCTTTTTTTTTAACAGGTTTAGTTTTGAACGCTGTTAGTCGTAAATAGGTCTATAGAGTACGCTACCTAAATTCTGTATAAGCGACCTAGAACACCTTTTGATTTCTCTGATCATAAGCTTTCCTGTGTTTTCTGAACACCGATATCTTCTGTCGTATAGTATTTGTCGGATGCTTAATAAATGTATGTGTGAACAGTTCCTAAGTGAAGAGTAAATGTACATACATTTAATAAATACAGACTTCTCATTCTAAATTGTACGCTTGGGTTTATAGGCTGTTATGTTCGTTGTGAATCAACGTTAGTTCTGTATATGTTGACAGGCACATCCCCGTAAAAATTTATGTTCAACCTATCGATTAGGACAATTTTGAGAAGTAACCGAAGTGTCTAGTTCTGTTTAGGGTTAGCTCGCTTCGAAAACATTGGATAGCAGCTGATTTTTGGTTCATATTTTGAGTCGGTTATTCGATTGACAGAAAAGGCCGAATTTTAAAGCTTGCTAAGGGTCGGTTAAGGTAAACGAACACTGCAGAACGTAACCTGCTAGACCGCCCCCAGGCTAATTCAAAGATCCTGCATGAGTTGTCATATAATTGATTTGATTTTAATTTGCCCAAACTAAACAGGTAGACCAATAAATTTCGGATGTTATTAGGCTTACTTTTCAATTTACATGTTTCAGTATGATATGTTCTGGAATGAAGCTTCGCACCGACACAGGTGAAGTAGGATGAGGTACGAGTGAACTAATTATTATCACAGTCAAGTATTATGCCTGTCCAGGTAATGGCGCTTTGTTTCTCGGCCGCTCTCCTCCCCAACCAACCCTGGGTCCCAGTGATGTGGCTAGTCTTTCAGGCACTGGCACAACTAAATTGTGTCGTCGACCCCCTACTATTCACCTTTATGAATACTTCGTTCCGCAAAGAAATCCGGTTTGTATAGATCACCTCGCTATGATATAGTATCGTTACTATAAATGAATTAGAATTGCTTTCGATTAGTGACACCGCAGGATACGCTGTCACCTGAACAGTATTTAACCGCAGGCTAGATTAAAATGGACTCTTTTTGATCACTGAACGCTATGGATTCGACCGTTCTATGTTTTCCCAATGTTATGCCTCCAGCGAAAACTAATCAAGAAACCTGAATTCGGACAAAAGGGTCAGATGTAGTACAGATAGCGCAGTGTGCAGTAAAAAAAAAACAGAAGTGCGTTATCAAGTTGGTACAAGATACTTGTCTATTCAGGCCCCCAACTAAGAGCTAATCGTATTCAATATGTCACAAAGATAGCTAAAAAAAATTACATGAAAGGCTGTAGTAAATTCGAACTTGGTAATCTCATAAATAATGCGATATGAATATTAACCTAATTTTTGGTGGGTCATAAAGAAATTGGGCCGTCCATATAAAGCAACATCATACACGCAGACATATCTGTTTATTATAAATATGTCTGAACAATAGCGCATAGTATAATTTGTTTAGCTTGTCTATAATCGGCTTATTTTATGTACACCTGCGGATCCGTGGCACACAGCATAACACACAAATGGGTATTGTATACATTTAGAGTACCAGCATTATATAATAGTTCATTCAGACTGCCACCGACAACATCCGCTTTTAGGTGCTGGCCGGCCATATAAGGAGCCGGCCATATACTGCATATAGCTATAGGTAAAGACAGGACAAGGCGTTACCCCTCACACCGGTGCGCATACGGTCGAATATTACAAGCAAAGGACAACATGTATGTTAAGCGATGCAAACGAAGCGAAACAAAATAGAAAAAACTGATGGACTCATTTACGGTTTTCATCACAAGCACTTCACACCCGCCTCAGCGCTGACGCGATCCGAACTTGCAGACCATAACAAGCGTCCGACCCTCGTGGGCGAACGATACAAGTTTCCCGGACCTGTTTAACTGTGAATCCCATATCAGCGAATGAAAAATGTAATGAAGCTCATGCGAGCATTAATTTGAGGTTCCACCGTGATTCTTTACCATGCTGTGCTCATTTAGATGTAAAGTTTTCAAACGAAACGATGCAAAGGACCAGCCGTTTGTTCTGAATATTGTTCCGTGTTTGTCCGTAGATATTAACAGCATTTACGTGTTAAGCTGACAATGTTAGCGAGGAAGTAACCTGCGCTCATGGCTGGAAAATATCGCTCAGTCGTATAGCTTTAATTGCACTTAACTGAAGCAAGATTTATATTATGGGCGTATATGATGTAACGAAAGAAGACATATGAATGTTACCCTATGCAAGTGCTGCCAAAAACGGTATGACAGCTCACAACGGTCACATACAGCAATGAAAAGGTCCAACAGTGTTAAGACCCCCCGGATTGAACCCAGGCAGATTTCGTCTTTCTGTCAGAATAAGGTCTAAGCAATATATTCTTCCTATAGTCATTAATTAAACATAACCACAAGTTCAAAGGTGTCGAATCCACAATTCACCGTAATTCATTACGGAGCTATCTTATTTCTCCTGTTGTTTCGTGTCCCCTGCCACTGTATGGCGATATGAGCAAACCGTCAGATGTGAGGGAGTGGTGGACGCATACATCCGCACAAATGCTTTTCGGACCTGAGAAATTTTACTTAATTATACTATACTACATGACATTTCTATTATTATTGTCTTTAATGTCAAAGGCAACTTCTTTTCAGTCGTTTGTTGTGCCGACGTCGACGTGTACAAGAGTGTAGATGTGAACGCTGTGACGACCTTCCCTTTACCGAAACGGTGGCTATTACGTCGATCACACGCGTTGACGTGTCCTAAGTTCTTGGTAAGATAGCATGGTTCAGACCATATATGGACTATTGTGACTGTTATTGTCGCCTGCAAATACACAAATTTGTCTAATTATCGCTGAGATTTTTGAAAGGCGCGACCGATATACAAAATCGGCCATACGGTTATAAAACACAATATTAGGTATATAACAAAAAAGGTTAGGTACGTAATGTAAGAGAACGAGCTAGTATTACACTTCGGTAGCGTACTGTATAACGTGTAGTACTATTGGCAGGCTTTTATTATGTGCGCACTTGTTTTTGTTGTACAGGTTTGGAAGCTCTCAACATTGATACCCAAACGTTGCCCACAACGCGATGGCATTGCTAACTGAAAATTTAAGGAAAAAGTGACGTCGCTCAATCTGGGATAGAATCAACTACAAAAAATTCTGTCTGTATCTGCAGTACTCGCTGCGTCATGAACCCACTATGTATATAGTGATTCTTCAAAGTTCACTGGCCATTGAAGCAAATCTAACTGCCTATGACGACTATGGATTTTCCATGATTTGTACCGATACTGTTAATGGGTACGGAGAATTAAGGATCTTAAAAGCAAAGAATTATCGTTAAGGAAATTGAGTTCGATTATCACGAACCGCTCCAGCAGGTCAGATGGAGAAGGCCATCTTGGTTTGAAGACGACGCAATCTGACGTAACTTTAATAAAAACTTGAATCGTATTATAGTCATTCGTCATTAACGAGTCAAATTATCGGAAAATAAATTTGAATTAATGCAAAAAAATTATTGCTCACACTTATCGCTTAACGTATAACGTAGCAGATTCTCACAGTCGCACTTCCAGGGTGCTCATACCTTGGTTAAAATATTATATAAAACTAAGTTATACAACTATGTTGAATAGATAGAGATATATTATGTGTAAGTTCAACTAACTATAACTACTATAGGTAAACACATTATGTAAAAAGGCTATGTTATATACGTAACGAACTTAAATCTCATCTAGATTCGGACGCTATTGCCGGCATAGCGCATTGCGATGTCAGTCAGGCAAATATCTAGAGAAAATTTAAGGCTGTATTTAATGAAGATGAGTAGAAAAACATCTGATTACTGATTCTCTACTATAATGCGACACGTTTATTCGCGCCTAGGCTAGCTATAAATGTTCACTCCAATAGGCCATAGAGACCTGTGCCTCTAGCGGTTGTAGTGAATTCCATCCTGCAATATGTACTGGATATGATCAGAACATCAGACGCCATTGGAGTACTACGCTCATTCGGTTTGAGCAGCGTGCGGAAACGATTATACATTGTTGCCCTGTTCGAGATGGAAATAGTCCTTAAATATTAGAGGAATCAGCGCGTCGTTCTAACCAGTCTGTAGTCGAGCGTCTGTATTACCATAGATAACTGACACAATGTTGGGTTGAACATGGATTGTATTTGTGTGTCCCCAATGGAAACGATCTTCGTTCTATCGAACCTAAGATTACCAGTTTCTAATAGAATGTCTTGCCCTTTGTCCCGATAGATAACACGAAAGGCATCTGCGTCGACAAATATACTTTTGTGTGACCGCTCTTTCAATTCCGCAAGTTCGGTTTGAATGGTGCCGTTCGGCGATTGCGTGCGCATTTTGCCGCTGTTGATTTATTACACCTCGTTCAATTCTCCAAAATTTACTGCAAAACTGGCTTTAGATTTCGACGATGTAAAGCAGGCCGGATTCAACAAAATCGGCAAATTGCATGGGCCATTGATGAGGGTTCTTCTGAGCCACGTTCAGACGCTACGTTGTGATTTTTCGACAGGAAATTCTACGTCACTCTCAGGGCGTAGGGTTGTAGGACGAAATGATTTCAATAGAAAAGAAAAAGATCTAAGCGTGTTATTGGCCAAAAGATTTGGTAATGATTCTTTCTCGAGCCCATCGGAGATTGCAGATAAAACGCTATGAAGGCTTCCGTCACAGTTCTACTATGTCGAGGGGGAAAGTATCGGTTATCTTTTTTGAGTCATTTTGACCGTTTTGAAGCCTTGTGTTTTTGATACCTTCGCTCTGCTAGGAACCCAAAATCAGATGTTGGTGGAGCTTTGTGTGGAACGTATTTTAGCAATACATTAACGATTTTCCGTTTCCCAATATCGTTTGACACAATATCATTTGATTCAATAACACTTGCAATAAATGTTTAAAAAATTTCACGTCTAATTCTGCCGTTAGACATTGCTTTAACACATGGGTACACCTGGTCTTAAACCTTTTTTTCCTTTATCAAGACTCTATCTGACGCGCCTGACAACTTTCGACACCAGGGTCTCTTTAGACACAACTACGGGACCCATGAAGTGCGAATTTTTGGTTTTATTGCCGTACAAGTATTTGCCTTTTCATGGGCATTGTTAGTATACCCTTAACCCTAGAGAGACTTTCCTTAAAGATCTCCGCGAAAATCTTCTTTGCGGTTGTCCTATCCAAAACTGGCATATGGTATTAACCTTCCTACCACCTCTGTTATCACTCTGAGTTCGGCTCAGGCCTAGACAACGTACCCTTAACTTCAGTAGGCAAGCATTTTGTTTCATTACACTTTTACGGAAACTGCTGTGAATAAACTAACAGCCACCAAATGTGCCTCTTTCGCCATCAGTGTCTTACAACCTCTTCATCATTTCAAAGTTCGGTGATTTATAGATATTTTTCCTAACTGACAGTTTCCAAATATATGTAGCTGGGTGGTTGGAGTAGTAGTAGTTCATGTCTAATGGAATGCTTTACGGCGATGCCGGTCCTACTATTCAAATTATCTGCTTGTAATAATTAACAAACAATATATTATTATATCTCAAATGAATATTCAAAGCCGGCCACCAGTTTTTTGAAGGTGCTTCATTTTCGCGCATTCCTGGAAGAGGCTCAAAGACACTAAATCCTTCTGAGTTTTTCCATAGGTACAGCCGGCGCATCTACTACAGGATGTGATAAAAGTAAAATCCATACAGTATAAGGGCTGTTTTTTTGTAACGGGCATGACTGCATCTTCCATTACAAAACATTGAGAGAAAATTTGTTCTTACCTGAGCGAAACATCAATTTCGTCATAATGGAAAACAATGCGTAATTTTAGCAAGCTCTACGAACATGAGCTGCTATTTACACCCCTTGCGCTAAGCCAACTTCAGCTAAGATCACAAACCTTTTTTTGGCCGAAATCGATCGTCTATGCCATTGCCAATTTCCACGCGGTTTTTAATTAGTCCCACGCAGATTTGCATGAGGCAATCCGACAGTTCCTCAATAGGCTTTTGATTGAAAGGGCTAGAAAATGTATCAAAATAGGTCAAAAGCCTTTTTTTATACACCTGGATCTTGATACAGAAACTAACAGCCGCTTTGGAACATAATAATATATCGCTTGTCAATTGGGTCTGTAGACACATTATAACGATTACTCTTCTTGCGACTTTTCACGCCTTTTGGACCTCTTGGTCATTTTAAGCCGTTATATTTCTGGGAACTTTGGTCTCTTATCAACCCAACGTTAAATTCTACTGGAATGTTTTATATATAGCTTGTCCTTAGCAAGAAATTATCGACAGTATCTATTTTATTTATATACAGACTTAGAAACGAAGCATAGGAAAAAAAAGTTTACTTTATACAGACCTAAAATTACATGGCGGGTATGAAGTAAAAGCAACCACGTATCCCTGACGTTGCTTGGCACACCGTTGCTATGTATGTTTTTTTTGAATGTGTTTATTCTTGGTTACTATATTTTTATGTAGACATTTTTATAAGGTATAACTTCCTGTGCATCCACTCGGATTGAAGAGTCGCCTTTCAGGTTAACCCTGCTGCATGTTGGCTAAGCGGGTGACCTAGACATGGTCTGCATCTTCGAAAGGATTCTTCATTTGGTATGTACCATATTTTGCTTAATATAGATTTATTAAATAGTCTTTGCTTAGTAATAATAAGTATTAGAAATAGAAAAAAAAAAAATCGAAAAAATCGCTAAATCGACAGGTAGTGTAGTTCAACATCATGTGTCTATTGAGTCGATATATCCAACACATCCGGCTCCCATGACGGAAACAGTGACCTAGACAGTCACTTTCTGCAGATCTCTGCTTGGATCTGCCTGTTTCAAGTATAATTGTTAATTATAGGCCGTTTCATGTTTATTTTATCGCTTATTTATGTTTGATTAGTAATCATTTTGTTGAATCAGCCATGAACTTTTATGAATAATCCTATTTTGTACTGTATAACCATTAAACCCACTCGCAATCAGTGGTTCAATATAATAACGTATAAAAAAAAAAAAAGGTGGAGAGCCTTGTGTATATGGTGCGTCTAAGTTAACAGGTACGCCTTTCGATTGCATTCTGTCCTTCAGTTCTAATTACCTCCTTTCAGAGCGACACAGTTTATGGATTTTATCTTTATGGTAGAATGGATATCGTGCCAAACCTTTTTTTCAATATGGTAATAGAACAAAACAAGAATTGAAAATACGTTTTGAAAAAAAAAAGTTGTGGTAGTTAATATTAAATGAGTGGTATGACACACGTTTGCCCAATTGCCATTGAAACCGGGAATAGTCCACGGAAGTCATTGGACGTTACCGGAAGCAAAACTCGAGACTTTTCATTGTCTCTGGGGTGCTTTTTTCGAAATGATGACCAGTTCTACTATCGGTCGATATCAGTCTAAACTAGGAAGATCTTGAGCTGACAAATGTTAAAACTGTTATCATTGCCATTATGTAATATAATTGTAAGTTAATAAGTATTCATTTGATAAATGTATAGCACGTTAATATGCGTAACATATGTTTGAATTGACAAAATTTAACCCATCATCTCTTTAAAGGCCAGCGCTCGATTTTTTATTTCAAGCGATGTTGAACAAAAACGTCAATAACACAAAAAAAAGTAAGCCAGAAGTACCTTTTACAATGACTGCTATCAACTATATTACAATAGGGGGGCAAAATGAGTGGCGCTATGAAACACTGGGGTAAAGGTTTTACTCCTCACGATTATGTTGATTGAATGTAACCTGCATTTACCACTGCTACAGCCTGAACTCGGACCGAAAACGGGTTTTAATTTTCCTTCTTATCATGTAACGACGTCTTGATGGTACGAGTCAGCTAGTTGATGGTGTCATGAGAAACTTTGTTGGACCCTATAAAGTTTCATACAGAAGAATTGACATTTGGCGGCTATTTAGGTTTATTCCTAAATTTTTATTTTAAAATCCAGATTTACAGCAGCTTATTCGGGGCTAACTTAAGTATAATTGTCTACACCATGGATCATCACGTGTCCCTAAGATTAGATCTTGCGTTGATTGGCTAGTAATAACTGGTGCCGTAGTTAGCGAATAGCAAACTTCTTTAGCAATGGGTTTTTCGAAAGAAGTACATTGTTATGGCATCTCCTCCACCAAATGTCACACTCAGAACATGAATATCGGCTGTAAATTTTTTATTTGTTTATTAAGGCACACGCTTTGAATCTCGCACAAGTCAGCGGTTATTTTCGCGGCTGATTTTTGTATCGAGATCTACATTTTTCCTTCAGGGAAAAATCAAAAGCAGCGCGCTATTTAAGAGTATTGAGGAACAAACTTAATATAATAAGCTTTAAGGTTTTATTGGCTTTAGATATACGACATATACCGGTGAAAAA